CTCTCTAAAACTGATCTGCATATTCATGTGGGTGGCTATCAAAATGACACACACACACAAGCAGACATGCACAGATACATGCACATGCACATAAATAAGTATATGCATGCACACATAGGCCTAAACTTATCCATCCCACACACATGCCCACATGCGCTCATACATACACACACACTGACAACAAAGCACAAAGAAAACCCTGAATCTCATGGATATTGTAACTGTCAGGCAGCTACAACATTTATGTTCTACTCATTCTAATTCTTGGGCTAAAAATGAGCTTCTTCCTCTCCCAGCTACACCATGTCAATCATTTTCCTCCCTTTCCCTTTACTTTCTCTTCCTCTGTTTGCCTCTTTCTCCCACCGGCAACAGCAGTGACCATCTTTCAGAGCAGGGCAAAGTCCAGCGGATGCAGGCCGCCTAGCAGAACAGCTCTCATTACTCCCAAACTTAGGAGTGAGTCATAGCATTGTCAAAAGTCTTAGAAGTGCTCACACTCCTCTGTAAAGATATTCACGCACCAAAAACTGGAGAAAAAAAATGTAAGATCGCTCAGAATCATTCTACTGCTGAGCTTAGAGGGGAGTTGGCGAAAGACAGGCAGAGTGAAAGAGAGGTGTGAAAGAAGGAGAGGGGCAAAGGGAGGAAGATGGAGAGAGGCAGGGAGAACGAGAGGTCTCTCCCTAAGGATATACTTGTCAAAAACCCCTACTTTGCGTTTCTGACTTTTTCAGCGATGAACAACAGTTTCCTCTGACAAAGCATTTTCCTGCTTATTTGCAGACGGAGGGAGGAGACGGGGCTCAAGTTGGAACGTGAGAAACTGAAAGGATGTAACAAAGGATTCAGAGCCAGTAAGCAGATAGCTCTGAAGGCCGCTAGGGGCCGGGAAGAGGAGGGGGAAGGGTGGAGGGAAGGGGTGGTGGTGGTGGTGAAGGAGGTGCGGGCTGGTGGTGTCTTTTGAAGAGAGAGATGGTAGGGGGAAAGAGAAAGGAGGAGACGGAGAGAATGAGACAGAGAGTGTGTGTCTCCTGTGTATGTGTTTGGGGACCCACACAGTGAGGCCTGAGCATGTGATTTATTTCAGAATACTAATGTCTCTTTGATCTCCTCTGCTTAAAAAAAACACCCTGCTGGGATTGCGGGCACACACACGCACACACTCTAACACACACAAATACATATATGTATTTATGTACATGCTTGCACACTCCTGTACATACCTACGAGCACACACACTCACATTAATTTCGCTGTGTCCCCTCGACTGACTGCTGAACAGGGCACATTTATGCACACACACTCACACACTCAGTCACACACACACTCCAGGGCGTCTAATCTACTTTAACTATCATCAAATCCATAGAGATCCAATTACAAAGATAGAGGGATATTTGTTTTTCTCTGTGCATCCTAAAAGACTAATTAAATTTTCATGTAAAGATGAAATTATGTGATACAACACAAATGTCTTTTCATTTTCATAATTGTAATGTAATATGTTTTAATTGGGGATCCTGTGACTGTTTCAGCTGCAGTTGTAGAGCTGTATACAACAGTTAAATCAGTCACTTAAAAAACATAGAACAGAATAGTGATGTACTCTACTTACCTTTCTTTCTTTCATCATTCTGTCATTATTCCACGTTGGGGTCATGGGAGCTAGAACATATCCCAGCATGCACTGGGCAGAAGGCAGTCAATCAAAGAGCTATAAAAACACAAAAACAAATACAGTGACTCAAAACAGAGAATCCTCAGTTCTCGAGTTGTTTGTCTTGCACATTTGCCCTTTCCTGAACAACAAAGAAGTATAACTATATAAATATCAGAGAGACTTCATTTTGTAGGTAGCATTACAATAATAAAACCTAATCAAAGAGAATCTGTATATAAGAAAACATACATTTTACATAACCATATAAATAATGATATACAATAAAAGCCTCCACAGCAAGTCCCTTGACTTAGGAGTCTACAGCCATGCTAGCAGCTCTGTTTAGCTGTGCTTAAACGCTTCAAGCTAAATACTAATATCAGCATGCTAACATGCTCACAGTGACAAATGCTAACATGCTGATGTTTAGCAACTATAGACTAATGTTTAACGCATACACCATCTTAGTTTAGCCTGTTAGCATGCTAACATTTGCTACGCAGAAAATACAGCTGAGCCTGATGGGAATGTCATTACTATGGCGGGTATTGGTTGAGCTAACAGTTGCACTAGATAAAAAGTCAGAGGATCATCTACAGTCATTAGGATATATATTGTTTGAGTATTCTGACTGTCTGTACGATATTTCATGACATTCAGTCGTTGCTGAGACATTCCGGTTTGGACCAAACTTGTGGAATGACAAACGACAAACTGGCATTTCCATCTCTCTAAGGGCATGGCTAAAAACTTTCTTTAAAAAAAAATTCTGATTCACTTTACCATTTTTTCAGTATCCAAGGCTTTTTGTTGTTTGCCAATAACAGGAGTGCAGGACTTTTTGTTAGCCAACGCTTGCATTTTGGATATAACCTTGAAATAGTCACCAAAGAAAGTTTTTAAAAGGATCTGAAAAATAAGGGTGACATGGTCTTTGTGACAACTATTTCAAACTTTCATGGTATTTTATGTGGTTTGAAATATTTCTTGTCTTGAAAAAAGTGTCAGACTAACACACAAACACTGTGATCCATGATAGCTTGTAAGAAACTGCCCTTCTCACTTTGTAGATCTACTACTGCCCTATTACCAACTACTGTGACATATCTTCACTCCCTGATGTTTGGTACATCCCATGAGTTGTTTCACACCTTTTTAAGTTCACAGCGGGTTTATTTTGGTCCTGTTTTCATGCAATCTTCCCAAACAAGTCCTTTTTCAGTTACTGATTTCCTACGTGACGCAAAGTGAGGTTATATAAACCTAAACTATATGTATGTACATTATATGTGTATATAAGATACCACTTGGTGTCAGATTTCTGGACCCCACTGAAAATTTACATTCAGTTGGTTGATGGACTGATATTTCGGTCTCTTCTATAATTAATTCTTGTATGATTAGGATTCCGTATAAATTGGCAGCTCTGGAAAGGAGCTGTCAAAACCGGACATTCACTGGTGATGTTGCAGAAGTTGCAGAGGTAAATAGCTGAGATTATTGTGCTGTGAAGCTGTAGCTATCCTGAAAATATCTTGATGTTGTCTGCACCACGAAACACAATAGACCCAGAAATGAAATAAATGGTGCAGTGTCAATGGCTGTTGTCTAAGTTGAAATGTTTTAAGGTGTATTTCCCTTCAGCATGTCTGTCCATACTGCTCAGGCTTGAAATAGCAAGGGGTTAGTAGCTTCTCTCCTCCTGCCAGCCCCTACAGTCTCAGTTGATACATGGTATCTGTCAGAAACTCCAGCTCCTCCCCGATGAACACCTCCAGCAGCAGCCTCCGGGAAGTCGGTGCATGCAGCTGCTGGCCAGACTCTTTAAGGCTTTCCAACCGTCCTCTTCACAGCAAACAGCAGATGTAGCAGCTTGGTGATGCCACCTTCCATAAGGGGCTGCTGCAGGGTGGCACAAGGCACGTCTCCAGCAGGTTATGGAGTCAGATGTGGTCATACATTTGACAAAGGTATACATCATCTGACCTGCATAGATCCCAGCAGCTATAGGAACCTTTCTAAAAACATTTTTAAGATTTTACATCATTTTATGATTTATCTACTTAAAGCTGCAGTAATATCAGCCTATATGTAGTTGATATTTTTATATCAACATTGGATCAAATGACTAATGTAAAAGGGATTGCTCGTAGTGACAAAGCAAGGTAATTATCACCAGATTCTGCTGTTCCCCTCGACTCTATGGAGCCTTTTAGTGTCGCTCAGCTCATTGTCTTGGTTTACTGTTTTGGTTCAGTCTCACAGCTCTCATCAGTGTTGTTTCCAGATGCAGCCAGCTGCTGATTTCAGTGAAAAAGCTCAGAAAAATTAGCAACAAGCCAGCACACACAGTTTGACACCAAAATGCAAAAGCAAAATGAGTGAATATTCGATTTCGTCAGGTGGCTTCAAATAAATGCTAGTTACTTTGTGTCTCCTGGATATTTAAATATTTAAATGTGTTAACACATTAGTCCTATCAGCCTGTGATAATATGTAATTTTTTTTGTTTTTCAAGTCTGCCCTCAAGTGGACATAAAAATTAATTAACGCTGCTTTTATGCACTCAAACTGCAGAAAAGATAATCACAGCCCCGTGCACACCTTTCAGTGGAGCTACCATGGAAATAATTTGTATGAAAACTTGTTTTTACATTTTTGAACGGAGCACCACAAATGAGATCCTGGATCACTTAGTCAAGTTTTTATTTATTTATTTATTTATTTTTTACCTTATCTCACTTGAGTTCAGGCTAGTTTTGCAAATGCAAACCCGAGACAAGTACACACAGCTCGTGATGTTGCTGTTTGTGATGCTGTTGTTGGCGTCTCAATACCTGTGGCATTATTAACACGATGTTGGTCATATTGACTTGGTGGGTTTATCACTAGCAGCCCATGTGAGTCCTTGTATGTAACAGAAAGGTTTCCTCAAACACACACACACTCGGCTCTGCAGGATTCACAAGAGCCTCAAGAAAATGTAAATATCGGCTGCAGTTTCCTCAGTAAAAAGGTGGTAGTTGAACACACTGAGTCACACAGCAGTTGTTTTGTTGCTAGGCTGTGTGTCCAGGTGTTAGTGCCACCAAGCTAAGCTGTTTTAAAAAAGAAATAAATGTAAAGAAGAAACAGAGACAGCACAACAACTTTAAAATATCTCCTACCTGAGCTGAATTCATTATTGAAATCTGTCACCATCGACCTCCTTCCTCCTCAAACCAGGACAGACAGGACTAACGGTCACAACCTAACGTTTCTAAAGTCGACGCCGCCATCTTGTGGCCGCTGTGTTACTCGCACCGAGTGGGCGGGGCTACAGAGGAGGACAGTGTTCGGACTTGTTTTGGGTTCTTTGTCCTTACTTCAGGAAGAGGGCGATAGGCGGAGATGGTCCGAGAGGAGCTGGTCCGTCGTCTCAACGACAGAGAGTATATAAACTGGCTGAAAGCAGGACGGTGTCTGCTCATACTGAAGAATGGTCTCCACCGATTCATCAGCCAGCACATGAAAAGTTTCCACGCGGATCTGCTCAATCAAAACACTGTGCTGCGGAAACAGTGTGTGACATCATGCAGACCGAGAGGGAATAAAGTGAGTCTGTTTAGTCTTAATCTCTTTCCATTCTCTGCGACATAATATAGAATATCTTTAACAACATTTCCCACTTATTGTCACTCTAACGTGAATAATCTGTAAACGTGTGTGTGTGTGTGTGTGTGTGTGTGTGTGTGTGTGTGTGTGTGTGTGTGTGTGTGTCTCCAGCTTTCTGGAACATGTATGGTGTGTGCTGAGTGGCAGAGAGTGATCATTAAACACCACAGACAACCTGATGCCACCATGAACTGGGACAACTGTTTCCCTCCAGCCTGGAGAACAGACCACTGGGAAGTGGCTAAGGTACAACACACACACACACACACACACACACACACACACACACACACACACACACACACACACTGCAGTATGTACGGTACGGTATAATAGTTGTCAAAGTTTCTTTATAGTGAGCAGTGTGTTGTTGTTGTTATTGCTTTACGAGACAAGACAGTAAAACCCACAGTCCAAAACCCAGATAAAATCAATTTACTATCAAATATGACAAAGCATCAAATCCTGACATTTGAAAACATTTGGCCTATTGTCTTGTAAAATGATTAAGGCGATTCATTGATCGTCAAGATGTTTGTTGATTAATGTTCTGATGTTCTGTTCTGTTAAGTGATGAATTGTTGCAGCTCTATAATTTAAAATGTATTGAAGTTACCCCCCCCCCCCCCCCCCCCCCCCCCCCCCTCACACCCCCCCCCCTCTCTGTAGGCCTACATGCCACGAGGTCAGGGGAAAGTGAAGGGGGCAGATCAGTTTGATGCCTCCGCTCTGCTCAACCTCATCAACTACTGTGATTGTTTCCAGTCTGTGAATCCAAAGTTAGTGAGAGAGGTAAATATTCATGTTGTTTAAAATGGACATGCTGCGCATCCAGCTCTCCTTCTCTGACCACGATGCATCTGTCTCCTAGTCGTGTCACTTTGCACTGTACAACAACTCCCGGCAAGAACGTGAATAAACATATTTCCAAAATGTCAAACTATTACTTTACTAATTCATCATCAAATACTGGAGGAGGAGAACAATTAATATATAAATGATAACACTGATTTCAAAACCAACATCACAAAGAGCTGCAAATTAAAAGATGGAATGAAAAGGTCAGAAATTATAGGAATTAATGAAATGGAGAAAAAAACACCATAGGCAGAATAAATAGTAATAATTATAAAAAATTATATAATTAAATAATTATTAAAAAGTTGAGCGAAAAGCAGTTAGTAAAATAAGGGCTGTGATGTGCAGTGGACTACTGTCATTTAAACTGTAGACCTCAAGAATTCATGTGCAGTCAGTAAACCTCACAAACAACCTAAAACAATAAGGATGCATATTTGCTTCTTTTATGCTTCCATGATTAAATATTTTATACTTTTATCAGTAAAGACATTTTAAATCCCCAACTCAGTTTTTAAGAATTAGAGTGACTGAACCCAGAACCAGTGATGAAGCAGAGGAGTGTAAATACAAAACAAAGGTTTGTATTTTTTAAAATGTTGCAGGAGATTGATCTGTTCTTTTGTTTTTGCTTCCATCCTTCATATTAATGAGTTTGAAAGTGTGTGTGTGTGTGTGTGTGTGTGTGTGTGTGTGTGCGTGTGTGGTTCCAGGTGATCCGATACAGGAATGAGTTAATGCATTCTTGTGAGATGCATATGAAAGATGAATGGATGAGATGTTATCAGATCACTCTGAGACACTTTGTGCAGCAGTTCAGCCACGTGCCACAGATGACAACAGCTGGACAAGAGATAAATGAGGTGAGCATGTTTGTGTGTGTGTGTGTGTATGTGTGTGTGTGTGTGTGTCTCTGTGTGTGTTACTTTGCGTCACACTTTGTTTGCATGTGCGTTTCTTGTCCAGATGCTGACCGCTGATTTGTCAATACGTGTCCCTGGTTCTGACCGACTGGACTCTGCTGTATCAGATGAATTTGAGTGTGATTCTGTCCACCAATGGGAGACCAGCGCCGACTTAATCGGCCAATGGGAAGCTGAGTTGCTACAAGAGAGGCTGCAGGAGTTACTGTATGATTCTGATGCAGCTGACGATGCTGCGACAAAGACACAGGTGCGAAGAACAAATACAGACTTTCACATACACTTACACGAGTAACACATAATGAATAGAAAGAAATTTTTCACATGATTTCAACTGACTCTGTCTCTTCATCAGGACACTGAGCAGTTGAGGAGGCTGGCTGGTTTCCTGCGGGCCAACGGAGACTTGGGCGAGAGGTTTTCTGCAGAGCTCCAAGCCATCAACTCACTGGAGGTCGGAGAATAAGAAGAGTATTGAACACTACATATTTTAGTGAATACTCAAATATCTTTAAACTGTAATACAGAACAGTATTTGAATAAAAACTTATATTTTTCTTGTATGCGCTTTGTGTTGCTTTCATGCAGAATTCAAATGTTTAAGTACAGATATTTCCATTTCACCCAGTGAAGCATTAAATTAGTCTCAGTGATCAAAGTGAATAACAATGCTGTGTTTTTTTTTAAACATGTAAATCCCCACATGCAAAATATTACAGCAAACTTATTAAAATGTTCTAAGACATGTTAGTGAACTGGTCTTATCATGAAATGAACTGGTGCCAGGAGACAGACACCAGTCTGCTCCTGTACAACAAGAAGGACAAAGTCTGAGTGTGTGAGAAGTGTGTGTGATTGTTTATTACAGGAGACTTTTCCCTCTCTGTTGTTCAGGTCAGTCAAAATACTGTGCCCAGGACACACCCACACTATGTCAGCATGAGATTGAGCGGGGGGGGGGGGGGGGGGGGGGGTGTGTTGGCTGGTTGTTCATTTGTCACAAACCACATTTATAAGACTTTCAGTTTCCAACAGTGTTTGTCAGCACCACATCCTGGTGGTGCAAAATGTCCAAATGTACATATTCTCATGAAATGTTCCAGTTAAATATTAAAATGTAATTTCATATAAAAGTCTGACTAAAACAAAAACAAATGTTTACACACATGCAGGTTATTTAGAAGGCAAGATAGTGGAGTGTGTGGTAGAAAAAGAAATGAGATTTAAGTTGATTTGTGAGTATTTTTCAGTTCTATGTAAAACAGGCACCAAAGTAAGAGGATACAAGTAAACCAAAATTAACCTTTCACATTTCATTTGATAAAAATCCTTATTTGGTTTAGACAGAGTGCATTACGTGACCTGCAGCTGCATGACAGAAAAGTGTGAAAACCAGAAACAGTTCTCTTGTCTTTCACAGCCGTGTCTGCTGCTGCAACCTGCTGCACCACTTCCACCCTCCGGACGAACAGACAGCGGGTGCCTGCCTGCGAGTCAGCATGGAGCAGGAGGGGGTGCTGGTCCAGTCTATGTACTACGGGAGAATTGGAAGCGAGGCCACAGAGAGGCTGCTGGAGAGGTTTGGACATGACGGCAGCTTTCTGCTGAGAGACAGCGAGACCATGCAGGGGGCCTACTGTCTGTGTGTGAGGTGAGCTGTGAGTGTGTGGGGCTACAAACGTCACTTTTCAGTTAGTTATATTGTGAGTTAGTCGGATTATTCTTCATTTATCCGTCATCTGTGACTAGACTGAGCACGTTTCACTTACAGCAACATAAGTTTATTTATATGTCACGCAGAGACAAGCTGAGAAAGTGCTGACGTGGGGCTTTCAAACAAAAACTCTTTCATATCCGTAGACCATAAAACATTTTTAAGGACATTTGTAAAACTTTTCAGTGGTTTACAGCAGCACAGACATAAGCATCATTTTTTACAATCTTAAACTTGTCTGTGATAATGTTTTGAGTAATTCTCGTACCTTGTTACAGGCACAGGCATCATATTCTTATATTTGAGATTCCTGGCAGCTTCAAACTCTGTTCAGTCGACAAAGTTTGTTACAGCCAGTTTAAAAGGTGCTTAGCAAAGAAAAAAATGAATTATAGAAAAGAAAAAATTTAACAAATCATAGCTGGACTCTGAACTCTTACACACTTTTATCTGAATTAAATTATATGTAACCATGACTCAAGTCCATGTAATGATATTAAATAAACAGCGTTTCATAAACAATTACAGTTTGCACTTGCTGGAAAATGTACAGTGTTGTGTTACTGAAGCCTCCAGAGAGGGTTTTTTTTTTTTATGTAAATACATTTTGGGGGCGTAAAAAACAGACATTCAACTCTTACTGCATCAGTTCAGCTGCAATTTAATTTTTTATTTTTTTTATTTTAATGGAAAAAGAATCAGAAAGCCTTTGCAGAGAGCTTGTAAAAATGGAACTGGTATTTGTGCTTAAATGAAAGGGGTTTTGAAAATTCCTCTACTGTGAAACCCATTTTACCAAATCTGAAGATTGTTCACCTCACTGAGGCAGGAAGCTAAAAACACGCAGAGTAATATATATTAAACAGACAAACAGTGCTGGAAAGTAACTAAGCATATCTACTCAAGTTCTGTGCTTAAGTGCAAATTCGAGGTACTTGTACTTGAGCATATCGACTTTATACACATGTACTTTCATTTACCCTACTGCATTGATTTGACAGCTTTTATCACGGGTTACATTTCAGATTCAGATTTTAAATTTAAAACAAGTGATCATCTCATGAAAATACAGAAGATTAAACCAGTGTTTTCAACCCTTTTCCCTTGTGACCCCTCACAAAAAAAAAAACGTAGTGTCTAGTTTCAGATGTCTGACCTATTAACAAAGAGACGTTTCCCCTCTTGACTTCTCACATAGTTTCATTTACATAACTGAGACTCACTCAATATAAACGATCTTTAGATAGAAAAGAACAACAGATGAAAGCAGATAGGTGTGTGAGAACATTGTTTATTCTTCTTTCCTCTCACATTAATCATCTGAAGACCCCTCAGATTTATGCTGTGACCCTTTAGAGGGGCCCGACCCCTTGTTTGGAAACCACTGGACTAAAGTGGTAAAAACGCTCTACACTGACCAGCAGGAGTAAAATGCTACTTATACAGGAAATATTTTTCTGTGGCCAAATACTTTTACTTTTGATATTTAAGTACATTTTGCTGGCAATACTTCATTAGGATTTTAAGTGCAGGACTTGTACTTGTAACAGAGTATTTTCACATTTCACATAATTCTACTTAATAGTCATTTAAGAGTCGTTTTCCCACCGTCTTACAGTCATTTCGTAACATTGTTAAATCGGCTTCATGTACAGAATTTAGAAAGATAAACAGCTAACGGATAATAAATAAAGTATGAAAAGACTTACTGAAATTCCAGTTGACTGTATATTGTAGATATATTGAATGAACTGAATCAGTTTGACCGCGCTCTACAAAGATTTGTAAGAAGTAAATGAGAACTTGTTTCACCTTCAGTGGTGTCGAACACAAAACTGAAATCATTTAGTCATCCTCTCTCAGATTCAGTCATTCCACTGGAACATGTGCACACAGTTTCAGATTTTATACATTTCACAGCAAATCGTTAAAACTTGTGAAATTTGTGTTTTACAGGAAAGCACCGTTTGTGCACACCTACAGACTCATGCACTCCACTGAGGGCTGGAGTCTTCAGGTGAGTGAACACCCGCACGCAGATCACACATGTCCACACGCACAGACAAGGTGCTTATTTGTGGTTTCTGTGTGTGTGTGTGTGTGTGTGTGTGTGTGTGATGCTCAGATTTCAGGGGTCAGACAGCAGAGATTCAGGACGGTGGAGACATTGATAGAGAACATCAGAAGGGGCACAGCCTCTGGTGTCAGGATACCCCCCCTCACAGACCCACTGGACAGAGCACAGCTACAGTACTTCAGCTCTGGAGAAGGTATGACACACACACACACACATACACGAACACACACACACACACACACATTTACATTATATGTCACGATATAGAGCAGTGGTGTGCTGTCAGGACAAACGAAGCAGGAAGTGACATCAAGAGTGGAGCAGGGATGACGTATTTTTTGGCCAACCCAGGTATTAGCACCACCCTGGTTCCCTCAACAAAAACAGAATGGGGTTTTAAAATTGGCTTTTGGATTATTGCTGACAATAAACTCTGTGACAAACAAAAGTTTATGATACTTTTGTTCAGCACGATCAATCTTCACAAATGAAAACCACTTTGTGGTTTTTGAAGCCTGAATACTATAAGAAGCTAATGTTAGGCTGTAAATGAACTACACTACAGTCACTTGACCTCAGCGTCACCACCGCTAAACTTCCTTCTACAAAAACCTTTCCTCTTACAAAGACAGTAATAGTTTATAAGAGTAAACACAACAAACTGGTGACAAGTAAAACCTCTCAGTCTCATTTAGCCACTTGTTAGCATCCGCCTTTTCTTGATACACGCAAAAAGTTTAAAAAGTCACGACCGAGGTATTTACTGATGTATTTTACGTCGTAGAATAATATGTGAAAATGTCTTGAGCTCGTGTTAAACACAGACCTTATTTGCGGGAAATCTAACCAAAAATCTGTGGATGTAACTGAAAGCGCTAAGGTGCTAAAATGCTAACGTTCAGGCTTTAGGAGTCATTCCTGCAGCTCTCTAATAGAAGAACACTGAGGTGGAGGAGATATCACTCCTTGCATCTCCATTTCCATAAAGCTTCTGATATCGCCTGTTTGCTTTCATCTTGTAATTTTACTGCCCTGTTGTGGCTGCAGTGAGCAAATTGTCTCTGGAAGCTAGGTTGACTACCAGCCATTGCTAGTAGTCTGTCATTTTCATGGGCGTGGACACGTCCCGTTGACAAAGGCTGGAGCTGGTGAAGCAGACAGAGATGTACAAGTGCACACTGAGGATAACCTGGGATCTTTGATGGGTGACTACCTATAGCTAGCTACAGACACACGCTTGTCAAGCTGTCAGCTTGCTCTGTTTGCAGATCAGTGATAATATTGCACCCATTATTATACGCCAGCGCAGATGTGTGTGAAAACTGTATTGCAACAGTCTTTTCTTCCAAGCGTTCGGGGGCAACAGGAGCAAGTAAACATACAAATTACACTGTGGTTTATCATCTTAGATATAAGTTTCATAAATCTTACGAATCACCTTGGTCAACATGTGACAACGAGCTGTTGTAGGTTCTTTGTACATGATCTGCGGTAAGCTTGAGAAGTTCGAGACAGCGTATTGAGGCAGGGAAATACACTGGTGTGTGTCATTGTCAGTTAATGGTAAATATTTTTTTAATGAAATTTTTTTTTTTTAGATATATTTGGTCTATGCTGTTCATTTGATATGTTTACTGTAAGTTCAAAGGGAAAATTCTTCAGCCAGGAAGGAGAGCAGCAAGGTGCAGGACAGAGACTTTCAGCACAGGAAAGTCAAGTAGCACAAAATTATGAGACAGGACAAGCGCTGAATCTGAGAGAGACTCATTGAGAGGGTGTTGGTTTGTGGGCGGAAGGGGAGAGGGGGCGTTCTTCAGCTCTGCTTGCCTGTCTATAAGTCACCGCACACCACTGAAATTTTCCTTTGTGTCAAATTGCAAAAACATTGTGAAAAATGGTAAAGTTAAATCTGGTCACACACACACACACACACACACACACACGGTATATTAAGTGTGTGTTTTTGTGTTTGTTGTACATCAAAGAGCTCTTTTTCAGAAAGGAAACGTGTCGTGACTCATGACCTACTCACTCAGCTCTAACACAGTTCCAGCTGTCTCCTCCACAGACTTTGCCTACATGGAAATGAGCAGCAGCAGCAGCAGCAGCAGCTCTCTCTGTTGAGGCCGTACCTTCACACCGGCGGACCACCGCCGTAAATCAGGTGGACAAACTGAAGATGAAGAGGAGCGCACATTTATGTGGCACATCAAGAATATGTCACATTTCTTCGGGGTTTTCCATGTTTATTTTTATCAAACCCCTAACCCCAACCCGTGTCACACAGAGTATCGGTTTCAAAGAATTTCACACATGGTGTTTTACCTAACAACAACGGTGAAAAAGAAGCCACTGCAGTGTATTAAACATGTCAGATTCTACTCAAGAGACCTTGAAAGTCATTGAAATGTTTTTGATTTGGTGTCATGGCAAACACTGTATTTTGTTGCTGTGGTTTCCTGTTCTCAAACCTGTGTTCTTCACATGTGATGGGTCATAACTGTGTGCTGTGTATTATGTTGTTTTTTGTTTTTTTTTTGCCATAAAGAAAATATATTTTTCATAGTCGTGATCATGAACTGTGGTATGTTTTTTTTTTCTACACAGACATTGGGTTGATGGGTTTTTGTGTCTTCTATCTGCTCGTGTGCAGTATCTATACGATCTGTGTGGTTGTCTGCACGTTTGATTTATCTTACCTGAAGCGACTATAACGGGCCCACTGAGTCTAACAACACAGGAAATGAAGCACTGCAGATGGTACAATCTATTGTGGTACACTTAATTCACCATGTGACTTTATTACGATATCTTATATCCAAAATACAAGCTGATCTCAGGTCTTACAACAAGCTCTCGCTGCTGCCAGAAGTTCTTTTGTTTGTTAATTGCAGTGGTTGTGTTCATTGTTGCTGTAATATTTAATTCTCAGTGATTTCTCTGTGGCCGACTGGTTCAGTTTCTTAGGCTCATTCAAGCCAGGCCTTCAATAAAAGCTAAACTTTCTATTGATAACTCCCTCTCGTTCTGTCAAGCAACAAGTAATTCAGGCTACAGTCTCATCCTTATTGGAAAATTGTGTTATTATTTATATAAAAGCAGCAACATTCAGTCTTTAAATGTTTTTTTTAACCAAAGCGCTCTGAGATTAAAATCAGGAAATGGCTTGAGGACTTGTACAAGAGCGTAGGTTGGACCTGTATGTCTGTGAGAGGATACCTTTATTTCTTAGTATGTATTTAAAAAGCATTTCTAATGAAGCAGCTTATATACAGACGGGTGACAAACTAAAGTTAAAACTAACATAAAGTGTCTTAGTAACGTGTTAGGCCACCACAAGAACCAGAAGTACAGACAAACTCTACTTTTCTAAATCTCGGCTGTATCTTATTCTGGAGCTTCCGAATTCAGATGGAATAAACTGCAGCAGGAAATGAAGCTGGATCACCTGATTTTTGTGGTTTTGACTTTTTTTTTCTTGAGTCTCCCAGTGACTCTTCCTGTGTCTGCGGTGGCTGGGTCTGTGTTAAGTGTAGACTCTGAAAGTTAGAGCTAGGCATTTTGGGAAATACACTTATTTGCGTTCTAGAGTTAAATGTGAAAACTGATACCATTCTCATATCTGTCGTTACAGCCATCAGCTGGTTAGCTTAGCTTAGCATGAAGAGTGGACACAGGAGGAAACAGCTAGCATGGCTTGTTAAAAAGCTAACAAACAAATAAACAAACAAACAAAAGCTCACTCTTAAGACACTATATCTTGTTTGTACAATATGTACAAAAAACCACAGTGTAAAAACAGTTTGCCTGATTGTTCTGTCCTGGAGTTTCCACAGTTTTGGGTAGGTGGAGCTTTGGGCAGCATCAGGCAAACTGTTTCCCTATTTCAAGTCTATATGCTAAGCTAAGCTAACTGGCTGCTGTAGCTTCATATTCAACAGACAGACATGAAAAGTCAATAAGAAAATTGCATAAAACCTTTGAAACTTTGCTTCAAGTTCATGAAACCTTTATATAATTAAGCCTTTCTGTTGGTTGTATCCACCCCCCCTGTTTTTTTCTCTTTTTCAAAATTTTATAATTACATTTCATTTCATATTAAAAGAGAAGATGAGGGTTATTTCCACATGAAAAAAAGTTACACACATTTTGTAAAAGCACTAGATACTTCAGGACCAACTAACCAGCAAGTTCAGGCAGAACAAATGTTTTAATTAGAACTATATGATGCTATAAAAAAACACAATATCCACATAATTACACACCCACACACATATCCATGCATTGAACACATTTAGCTGAATGGAAATTTCATATTAAAATAGTTAGACCTCAGACATTCATTACATTTCAAAGCGTCCTCTCCATTCTGCTTTTAAAATGTCTTTGGAGGTGGTTTTTACTCTGCGTCCTCCACCTTTGTGATCTCCTCCTCAGCCTTCGGTGGCGGGGCAGGATAGGAGAGCTGGAACAACAGCACAGCAAGCAAAACTTTGGCATCCTTCATTTGTGAGTGTTTGTGGTAGGGGTGAGTGTATGATGTGAGCTCATGTGTTTGCAGTAGGCCCGTGTACTTACATTGAATGTGTCATTTCTTTCCAGGAAAAATTTGTATTTTGGTGGCGGGCGAGGAATTGGAGGAAACAGAAGTTTGGACACCCTGAAACACAAACACACACACACACACACACACACACACACACACACACACACACACACGCACTAAGGAAGGAAGTTAAGGATGTATGTTTTGTGGTGGCCTTTCTACCACCACTTGTACAGCTCTGCCCTTTGTTTTCTCACCGCTTGTGACACCGGGTTCACGACTTTCTGACACTGGTCAGTTTCACATTCAATAGAGAGGACAGAGTTTACGTATCACGTCAAAAGCAGCTCACTGAAGTTGATTTGAAAAAAAATAGTAATGTGTAGAGGAATAGAAAGTCTGCGAGGAGCTGTATGAATGGGAGCATGTCAGTATGTGAGTGCGTGAGAGTCAGGGACCACTACGAGAAGCCCCCAACGCCAAAAATGAATTCTTCACTTGCACATACATATATACTGGTACTAAGCACTTGCATATTATAAATATATATACTGTATATATGTATATATATGTATTCAGTATGCATGCATATCTGTCAACAGGTTAGTCAATGAGTAAGAGAAAGAAGCAGTACCTCTGATAGCGCACCAGCAGCAGCACAGCCAGGAGGATCATGGGTATTCCAAGTGAAATCGAGACGATCAACAGGATGCTGAATTTTTCAGCGGACTGTTCCACCGCTACACACAGAAGCAGGGACATCACTGTTATGAGGTTGTTTGCGTTCATTTATGTAAGTGTGAGTAAAATCAGGCTTCCAGCCATCGACTGTATCCACTGGAGACGACTTCAACAAGCAGCACTCACTGACAATGGGACTCCATTCGCTCCACTGAGCAGATCCAGCACAGTAGTGGTTATTCCTCGCCCTCATCCTCAGCCTGTAGGTGCGAATGGGATCTCCATTCGGCTCTGTATAAGACACCTCGCCTGTCAAGGGTATGGGTTTTTCCTGTTATGAAAAGATTAAAATCTTGTTCCTTATTCCTGTTGTTATGTGCACCAGACAATAATGCAATAAATGTTATGTATTCTTTCTGTAAAAATCAACATCCACAGTAATCTATACACACAGACATACTGTACCTGGTCACCCAGGTCCAGCAGGTATTCAAAGCATCTGGAGTTTGATCTATTGTGGGGTGGACTCCATGTGACCAACAGGCTGTCATTTTTGATTGTTGCAGAGATGTTAGAGGGTGGGGACACGACCTCTGTGAAACACACATCCACAAAATAAATCAAATTCATTCTGAAGGTCTGCTGCGGACCCTCTAAAATATACAACCTAAACCTAACCTCAACCTCCAGCTTAAAATAAATCTGAACTATAGATGTAGAAAAATGGGCTCATAGTTTAAGGTGGCTGATGGGATTCTGAGAATAAAGCCGTACTGTAATGTTTATGGGAATAAAGTTGCAAAGAAAATCACAATTATAACAAAATATACGAAGATATATGTGGCAGAAAAACTTAAAATTTCTATCACTTTTGTGCCTCTTTAACTTTGGTTCAGTGTCTCTTGTTGGTTGTAAAATTTAAAGGAGACGTTCACGAGACATTCATGGTTCCCAGAGGACGAATCCTCACGACTTTGTTGTTCCCTTTCCGTTTTGAGTGAAGTGTTGCTACTGAAATCTTCTACAGGCATTAATCTCTCCCTCACGATGAATCAAAAAAGTTTTGGTTTTCCTCCGAAAATTATAAATTGATTGACTTTCATCTGTGAAATAACTTCCAAAGATCAACCGATTGTACAACCAATTAAAAGTGTCTAAACACCGTGCCGTTAAGGAAAAGGACACAACTTGACTCCTTGCCTTTCAGATGATACATGATACACACTTTACAGTTTACTAATCTGAGCAGGCTGATTTCTGAAAACCAGCCTCCAAACAAACAAGTGACGTCGCAAAGGGGCTCCGGAACAATCTCACGTTTTGCATAACCGACAGAAAGTGTGCCGTCAAACAGATATTAAATGTCTATGGATCCTCGTCCACCATTCAAATAGTGGGGGCCACTGAAGACCATTATCATTTGCACATACAACGACAATTGTGTTTGAGCCCGGGAGTATTACCTATTTCGTGCATGTCGGTTGTTGTGTAGGTTTTGACTGTCCAACTGTCGTGCTGGGACATGTTGAACTGGAGTACCATAAATACCATCTCATGCTGCTGCACAGTCAAAAACATCGATCCGACTCTTTCATTAGACGATTGGCTCAGAGAGGGAATCACTCTGTCATCGTCACAAATACTGGATGAATAGAGAGAAAAAGAGTTGCGCATTTGAAACATCTGATGCATTTGAGCAAACCTGTATGGTAAATATGTTAATTTTAGCTGTCTTAAATGTGAATACTACCTGATTTCCAGTTGAAACTTGTTAATTTTACACAGTTTGGTATTGATCAAACCTTTTGTAATGTATCATTAGAGAAGTACCTGATGTGGGCAGAAAGCTCCTGTAAAGCTTCGAAGGACCAGGAGCAGTTGAGTAGATTTGTTGGGTAAAAGTGGCAGGTAAAGTTTGCATCACTTTTGTACTGAAACAGCTTCACAAGCACAAAGCACAGGATATAAAAATCAAAATATAAATCTCTATTTAAGCAACAAGCTTTTGGTGTGTCTGTGCAATCTTTGGAAGTCAAAAGAGCATTTTGATTCTCACATCGCTTTCCTCCAGACAGACGTCCTGATTGATGCCCTCCGTCTCTGTGAAAAGAAAACATATTGTTCATATTGTACATCTAGACGTGTAGCATGAGGGAACACACATGTTAATCTTATCTGGATCTTCAAGTTCAAACTGTGAGAGCGCATACAGAGCAAAGTGGAGACCAACGTGAGCTTCAGTGCAAGTCTGTCAAAATTAAGTCAAAATTAAAATGTGTCACACAGCTCTTTGGCAGCACACCAGTTCTTCAGCTTAATTCATCAGAAATTCGGGTATTTTTAGTGATGGAGGAAACTGGTTAAAGATAACAAACCGCTGCACCACCCAGATCAAAGCAAGATAGGCAAAAGCATTTGATGAGTAAAGCATGGTGTACTGTGTGTGTGTGTGTGTGTGTGTGTGTGTGTGTGTGTGTGTGTTTTAGGTCTAAACAATCGAAACCAGGACATTTCAGCACTGTGAACATTTTGTTTGAGGGTTTTGGTTTCAGGTCACAATTAGGTTTAATTGTTTGTGTGTGTGTGTGTGTGTGAGAGAGAGAGAGAGAGAAAGAGTCATTTGTATAAATGTCAAAAGTCACCCACCATTCCCACCATTTGTTAAGTCCCATAAAACCAGGAAACAGGACCAAAATACTGGGTGGACAAGAAACAGCTTCATTACCAACCTACAGATTTTACACAGAGAGAGAGAGAGAGAGAGAGAGGGAGAGAGGGAGAAAAGAGAGACATACATGAATACATACTAATGAGAAACAATGTTGGGCTACATACAGTGACAAAAGAGAAGTTGTTGTATTACTTCGTCCACTCTAAGTAATTTCCTGGCTTTTCATACTTCCCCTTTTGGAGTATTTACATGTAGAGGCTGGCTGCCAGTAAAACAGCAACTACAAACAAACAGCTTTCCTCATATGACTGTTAATTCTAATCTCTGTTACATTTGATTCTTTGAGTTTTAACAATGTGTACACATTACCTCAACCTACAAAGGTTTTTACATTTTTCATTCAAAAAAAAAAAAAGGGTTTATACACTCAGCTACACTATCCCTCTCAAAAATGATAAATGGATATACCCATGAAATGTTATCTCCTCTGTGTGTAAACTTTCTTATGAATGAAATCTAACACAATTCCTCCCAGTACATATTAGTGACTACTGCAAATAGCATGAACATGAAGCCGTTACCTTCTGCTGGTCCACCACTCCGTCACTGACTGAGGTTCTTCGAGTGCTTTCAGCCAGACAGAAGACGCCTCTGGGGAAAGAAGACGCATGACGTCACGTACTGTACAGAGCTTCAGGAAACCAGGGTTTCTTTCTGTTTCTTCATTCTGACTCTCTTATAAATACACTGCAAGATAGAGAAAGAAAAAAAGAAAGAAAGAAAGAAAGAAAGAAAGAAAGAAAGAAAGAAAGAAAGAAAGAAGGAAAGAAAGAAAGGAAGGAAGAAAGAAAGAAAGAAAGAAAGAAAGGAAGAAAGAATTGTCATTAGAAGGAAGGAAAGAAGGACAAAAGAAACTGTGGAAGTAAATTTAGTAAATTTTAAAGGGTTCTTCCCTGTCCTATGCCCCATCCCCATTTTTGCTTAATCCTGCTGAAAAACAAACAAACCAACAAACATAACCTCCTTAGCAGAGGTAATAAAGGAAGGAAGGACGGAAGGGAAGGAGGGAAGGAAAGGAGGCAGGAAAGAAAGAAAGTCATACAAAAAGAAAGTTGTATTCCAGTCAGAATAACAGAAGTGCTACTAGTACTTTTTGAAGCATTAATAGTATTCACAGCATGTACTGGTGTTGACAGTGGAACTAATCATGGAGGACAGAATTAACAGTAATATCAGTCGTAACAGCTGCATACAATGTGTTTTAGAAGAGGCTCAGTTTCACAATCACCTAACTTGTTTGATTAGAATTGAATCATTGTTAATGAAGAAAGATGACAGTAAAAGAAGAAGAAAGATTTCAGTAAAAGAAAAAGATGACAGTAAAAGAAGAAGAAAGATGAAAGTAAAAGAAGACGACAGTAGAAGACTAAGAAAGATGACAGTAAAAGAGGAACAAAGAAAGGTAACGGAAAGAAAAGACAGACATGTGGCGTCAATAGAAATTAATCACTTTAAATGTGTGAAAACAGAAGGGAAATGAGCGACCGACAGAGGGACCAGCTGCATCGTTAGTGTAATCACTTTCATGTCTCTTTAACCTCTTGGGAGGAATACTGACACTTCAGAAAACATCTCACAAAATGGTCTATTGCTCAAAAACTATAAGTCATATTGAGACATTTGTTCAGCTCCAGCAACAGGAGGCTTCACTGAAGACACTGCTGTACGTGTACGTACTCATAATAATGAAGGAGTCACAGTGAGTTAAACACTGCCTTCATCTGCGTTCTTTACGAGAACTTCTCCATCTCTCTCATAACGGTGCTCAATTAGAGACTTAGACATTACTCTGTGGTTTTGACCACATTACTCAAAAACCACAGGTCTTGTCGCAATAAAAGGAGGACTTCATGAAAGAGAACAGGTTCCTCATTTTGTCGTATACATTGATTATGAATGCTGAAGAGGAAAAGAAAGACGACAGAAAAGATGAAGAAATCTCTCAGTGTCAGTGGGTGACATCACATTTCCACTGAAACGGGAGAGAAGTTTGAAAAAGATCAAAAAAAGATTAAAACGTCATCAATTCAAAAAGTACAATAAATATCAATAAGCTGAACTTAAGCTAAAATAAAACTTAAATTTCCCAAGTTCTGAGACCCATTTAAAGTTTGAGTGATGTTTCTTGCACAAAGTATGAAGAAGTAGGAAGCTGAAGAAAACAGTAAAGTTTTCCTCATTGACTTCCATTATGAAAAGTGTGAATGAGATGAATAAGTTAAAAATCAATCACAGAAATCCTCAAGAAGACAAGAAGACACATGTTTTGATGTGAATAATAATGATAAAGATTTGGATAAATGTGAGAGCTTCCTGACACCCACACTGACAGCTTTTGAAAGTAAAGTTTCCCTTTATAAAAAAAAAAAAAGTTTCCACTTTTCACATAAACCTTTTACATAAAATTAAAAAATGGCCAAATTAGTAACATTTTAATAAAATTTGTCACTTTTTGTGAAAAATATTAAATTAGTAACAATCTAAATAAAATTGATAAATATTTTTTTTTTTTAAATAAAATCAAACAATAAATAAAATAGTCCACAATAATTAATTAATAATAATTTCGTATTTTCCCATGAAGGAAGGAAATAAAATTAAATAAAACAGAAAAATACAGAAAAATATATAATTCATGTTTATGCACTGGTGGCATTCTTTAAATCTTGGCTACTGTTTCTTTACTTTACATACATCTGTTTACCTGTTAGGATGACTCATTTAACTGCCTTGTGTTTGTCTGAGCTGCAGCTTCTCTCTCATTCAGGCACAATCTTCCTCCAAATATCTATGTTTGTATTCAAGGACTGGTCAATTGATGTGCAGTCAGATCATAATGGGGCAGGTGCATTCGAAAAGTGAACCAGCTGTATATAAAACGTTAAAACAGTAAAAACATCAGTTAGACCAGGAGTTCTGGTTCATGTGTTAGTGCTACATGTCTGGTGTTCAGAGGGTCAATAGTGTGAGGAATTAAGGTAAGGGGTAGTTTGCCATAGCAAGACACTCAAATGGTTTTCATTTCAGCTAAGTGGTTGACAAATAGATTGCAGTACTGTAATCTATTGACTTGATGACAACACTCACATAAAGAGGTCTAACAAAACAATTAATGAGCAAAAAAGTCACAAGGGACTAAGCTCATCCAGCTGAGAAAATCTGTCCAGGAAGAGTCTGTGACATCACGTATCATGGCTTCATGCCTAGGGAATATAAAAAGGTATGAAAGGAGATTATTCTTTGATAGTGCAGCATCAAGCCAGTCTGACAACACCTGCTCTCTCTGCTAAGTGTCCTTGTGCAGGACACTGGATCGTTGCCAGCTCCCGGCTGCAGCTGTGTAACATTTGGCCTCAGCAAAGCAGGATAAGAGAAACAAATCACTCCTCTGGGAACTAACTGAGTAACACAAGCATTGATTAACATAATTTCATATACACTCTGTTCCAAGTTTATTAAGTACACCTAGCTATAATTAACGCAGTCTAATACAACAGATCTGCAATAAGTCATATGAAAAGTTATAAGACATTTATATCACTAAGAGTAGACCAAAAAACAGAAACAAATCTGTGTGCAATACAGTTCTGTCAGGTTTTGTTATTATAAAGCACCCAAATGCAGACCATCCAACAGTAGGTGAGCTATTTGCCACAGTCAATGGAGACATTAATGAAAGTGTAATCCATAGCATAGTTGGTTTTCATTTGTGCCTCGAATTTCAACATAAAAGCTGTTCCCTGACCGGGAATCGAACCCGGGCCGCGGCGGTGAGAGCGCCGAATCCTAACCACTAGACCACCAGGGAGAGACGCTCTGTGAAAGCGACTGCAGATGATTTCTAGATGATGAAACTTCACTACATGGTTTTGATACAGTTGTTGTGACACCTACCACTCCCTAGAAACCCTAGAAACTCTCCACATTAAGCTGAGTCCTTTCCTCTAAGTAGCTCGTCTGTTACTGGTTTCTCTTCTTCGCTTCACTCTGGTGTGCTGGTGAGGAGCAGACTCATCACTGCCACCTGTGGCCAATGGCGGAAATAACATAACGTCAATTGCTATTGGCGGTTTCTGGTAATACTACTTGACAACCAAGAGGAAGCCACTCCTACCCCTATATGGTGGGCAAACTTCACACTCAACAAACCAAACCGCGCTCTAGCAACATACTGAATGAAGTCTGCTACTCAAGTGGAGGGAAGACTTCCTGACAGTAAGCTAACAATCTTCGCTATATGCTCACATGTTTTCGAAGTCCACTCGTTAATTTAAGATATTTTGTGTGATCGTAGAAAAGGGTTCACGTTAGCTAGGTTGAACTGTGACTGTGAAACCTTCAGTGTCTAGGACGGGATGCACACATATACCGAAAATGAAAGTTAGCTTGATTTACTAATAGCTAGTAACACTTAACATACATAAAACGCCATATATACTCAATCTGAATACATACTACTAATCCAAAGTAAAGCTCGTAAATGTATTTGGCATTTAAAATCTTACTATTGAGGTGTACCTTCCTGTAAGCAAGAGAGAACAAGTTCATCCACGTCTTCTCTATTGAATAATCGTGTTGTTGTTTTTTTATATTGTGCTATCTCAGATTCAACATGTCAGCCAAAGGCACATTGAGGCGCAATAAAACGGACATTCAGAAGCATTTGTGTGGAGATTTCAGGCTAATCCTCAACAAAGTTGTGGAGAAAAACCTAATAACTGAACGGGAGTACAACAACCTGAAAAGCATCAACAAAGAAGATGTAGAGGGACACGTGGTTGAGCTTGTGGATAAGATCATGAATAAAGGAGAGAAATGCTGCCAGGGTTTCCTGAACCTCCTGCAAACTGACAAGGATGTTGAGACAACTTACCCTGAGCTGAAGGACTTACAACTGAATGACACCTGCCTTTTACCTAAACCCACCAAGGCTTGTTCAGCAGACAACGATGGTACATGACATACATAATGTGTGGAGCATTCAACATAATACCAGCCTGTAGTATGTCTCATGAACCTGAAGTTTTAAAGCTTTAGCAAACAGTCCTCAGTTTTATATTTGGAGGTGTAATTCTGTTTCACTCTGATTTCCTCAGATGTTGAGAGCAAGAGGCAAAATAAGGTGAGGTCTTTATATTATATTCAAATAGCACACTATATATGTACTATATAAATTTTCCTCAGATAATCACAGGATATATTTTCATCTCAAAGACTCAAGACACATGCTTATTAGCCTGTATTACGATAATAGCTTTGTAATTATGTAATGGAAATTTAAACTAGTGAAGACAATGAAGTTGCCTCTTAATTAAAAGTCTCTGTGTGTCTGTGTTAAATTGTTTCCATTGTTTTCAGGAGGAACAGTACCAGTTGAATAGCCAGCCTGTCGGCCTCTGCTTGATCATAAACAATGAGAATTTCACAGATGGCACAAAGAGAAGTGGAACCAACAAAGATGCTGGTATGTTACAGAATAGACAGCTTTACTGTGTTACACCATTGTCCTCTTTGTTGGTGCTTGAAGCTTTTCTGAGTTTCTTAAAATTACATTTCCTGCAGAAAGTTTGGCAGAGGTGTTCAGCTGGCTGGGGTTCAGAGTGCTGATGTGTACAGACCAAACCCAGGACCAGATGGATCAGGTACTGAAGTACCTTGCTTCTCCAAGGGACCACTCCCAGCTGGAGGAATTCAATTTTAAGGAGTGGTTTGGCACCGGATTCATTGATCTTCAGAGGGCTCCTATACATGGAGATGCCTTCGTCTGCTGTATTCTGAGCCACGGAAAACAGGGTGTAGTCTTAGGGATTGATCGGAAGCCCCTCTCCATTAAACAAATAACTAGAACTTTCAAGGCGACTGACAAGTCAGCCCTCACCGGCAAGCCTAAACTATTCTTGATCCAGGCCTGCCAGGGCAAGCAGATACAGCATGGAGTGTTATTAAAAGATCTGGAGGATGATGATTCTCCTTCACCTTTCATCCCTGAAGAGGCTGATGTTCTGGTTGCTATTGCCACTGTTGAAGATTATGCAGCAATTAGACACAAAATCGATGGAAGCTGGTTCATCCAGTCTGTGTGTCAGCAGCTAAAGGAAGGCTGTCAGAGGTAAATATAAAAATCAAAATTAAATAGTTAGGTTTGTTGACTGAAATATCAAAAAAATTAGCAATATTTTGTAGATGTGATGATATAATCGTTTCTTTTCAGTATACAGTATACATAGACTGTACACTTTAGTTGATCAAAATCTGTGCTGTGATAGGGACAGTAATGTTTTTGTGCCCTCTATATTGTTTTAGGCATGAAGACATCACCACCATCCTCCAACGTGTGAACGATGAAGTCAGCCAGAAAGAGGCCAGCAGCAAACCTGGTGCAAAAAAGCAGATGCCTGAAGTCAGGTTTACCCTGAGGAAGAGGCTTGTGTTGTCACCTTAGCTCACCAGAAGCTAAATGTCCAGATATCATGCAATACAGTATACTGAATGTCTTAATTAAGGATTTATAATTAACTCGAGGGACAGTTTTTCTTAAATGTATTTTTATCTTTCTAAATCTTTATTTTTTTTATGATCTTTGCCTTTTATATTGTATCACATCCTTGAATCAGAGAATAAAGTTCACAACATGAAAGTCACTGGTGGCTCAACAAGTCTAACAAATGAGTTATTAATATAACTAATGTCATGTATATTTATATTCATGAAATCTAAAACATAAAGAAAAGTTTTTAAAAAATAACATTTTTAACTAAATTTCTATCTCATAAAAATTATTCAACACTTTAGACTAAACATTATTCATGTTTATATTTTATTGAGACAAAACCAATACAGCTTTAACACATTTATATGGATGATGTAAAACAGAAAAACTCGTAAACAATGGCATTATAGACTAATATGCAATTTGGCAGTGAGAAAACATTTTATCACTGTTTCTTTACTTCCCTTTTCAATGTTAAAGTGCGTTTTCTTTAATCATATGTGACTCATAATGTCATAGTTTAAATTTGTATATCATAGCACTAGCTTTTTACTCTCATTATTCTGATTTAGTACATCTCAAATTTGACATAATTTTGATTTAATTATTTTTGATCATCCATTTGCTTTTTTATTTTTTATAAAGAACTTTTTTTCTGATGCAAATGGACTTCCACACGCTGTTGATCTGCAGGATCTTTTGTGACACTTCGTTGGCAGGAAATACGGTAGCTTGCTTGCGTCCAGATTCGGCTGCGCACCTGTAATCGTCTTTACGGTACTGCAGCGTCGTTTCCATGACAACTCGGGTTTGTTCGTCGTCTTTTTTCGTATCTGTAGAGGCTGCACAGAGAAGTCCATCAAAAAAAACAAACCTTTTTGCCATAAAATGATAAAAACAACCTACCTGTCGCAACAAAGGTGTGTCTTGTGAAGCTGTTCCAACTAGGTGGAGACTTATTTTACAACCAGAGGTATCTGCCTTAGGTAAAGGCAGCGACAGCGATGGAAGCCCCGCTGGAAGATGAGACTCCTGCCGGTGCTCTTGCGGGGACTGAAGGACCCAGCCATGGAGAGGAGTTGAAAGCGTCGGACGAAGCTATCACATTCATGTCCAGCGTTGGTGAGTTGGTTGTCAGTATACTTTCTAGGACAGTCTGGGTTGTCAACAGGAGACAGAACTAATATACCCCTGAGATTTAGCACCACCTGGTTTTGACGTATCTTTAGTTGCACCAGCAAAGACACCGTTCGTTACGTGCGAGCAATTAGCAGTATTTACAAACTGCCCAGTTTTTGCTTTTGTCCAACCTAAAGTCTCCCCACTCTTCTCAGAGCCCGCAGAGCTGCAGAAGTGTGTGTTCCCGGACTCTCTGGTGACTGTGTCAGAGGGCGGCAGAGACCTGGGGAAGTTCAGTGTGACGGTGGAGTTTGCCCGTAGAGTCCAGCAGCCCTGTATGCTGCTGCATGCTCAGAGCCAAGGAGCCATTGACGGCTCCCCCTGTGGAACAACAGTGACAGGTGACAGGAGGCACGGACTGTCCAGACAGGTTGATCTCCACTGTTTTATTCTTTTACAGATGTCAGTGTACCTTAAATTCATATTCTTTGCCTTGTCTTTATTGACAATTTAAGCTTACCTGACTACTGACCTGGAGGTGCTGGAGGAAGATTACCATGAGTATGTCAAGGTGAGCCATTCCAAGCTGCCCACACACACACACACACACACACACACACACACACACACACACACATACACATATATCAGTTGTTGCACTAACTGAAAACACTGCACCCTTATCAGGCAATCACTGTTATGCAACATATCTCTGATTTTAAATTGTATTTCCTGCCTTTAAACACACAAACTCCAGCTTGAAGGCCACAGTCTGGACAAGAGGTGCTACATGGTGCAGCACGACGGGCAGATGGTGATTGATAAAGTTACCACTGTTGGAGAGGTGAGAGGAGAAACAACAGAGTGCGTCAACTGCCTGAAATCCTGACAAAACAGCATTAAAATACTATCAGCCCCAGGCCTCGTCAATATTTCTATGTTAAATAGAAGCTAATATGTTGGTTTTTGTCATGGTTAGAAGCCTAAAATCTGAGACAACAACCAAAGTTAAGCAAGGCTGCTACCATTTTACAAAACTGGGATCCACACTCAGATGTTTAATATCATCATGTTACAATTGATTACTACCATGCATAAATTGTTGCTTGGAGAAATCAAACCTGGGACGGTGTACTCCTTTTTTGTGTGTGAATGTGTGTGTGCAGGAGGTGACGAAGGAGACTGCTTCTTATCCCACGTCTGTCCTAAGAGGGCTGGTAACAGAGGGTTCCATCTTGCTGCTGATGCGCCTGATCGCGCTGAGGAAGAAGACGCCAGAACACATGACCTTCATCTCCTTCGACCAGGGATTACACATCATGCACACCACCTTTGTGAGTATTTACGTCTGTGTGAGCCTTTTTTGGTCAGTCAGTGACTTGTTTGAGGAGAGGACTCAGCTTATCTGTCTGTCTGTGTTCAGAATGAGCTGGGTCTGAAGCAGCTGGAGGTTGGGGGTGAGACCGTGGAGGTATTTGGGATGGAGAGGATTGCTCACTCTGTGGAGGACAGCCCCACCACCTGGCAGTGCTACTTCCTGGATGATGGGTAAATTCGATCTCAATTGAAATCTGGCAGACTTTAACAGCTGCTTTTGTTTTGGAGGATTTAGAGACAGAAGAATTTATGATTGCTGTTCATACTGATTTAAGGACACGTATTGAGACAAGTATGTTATTGCCTGGTCACAAAGGCAGATTAGTCAGACAGATTGTGTCACATGTCACAGGCAGATCCAGGTTCAACGAGGTGCCACATCAGCTATGTGGAGGTTTACTCCAGAGGACACTAATAAACAACAAAGTATTTTATTTGCTGCATAAGTGTAACTATATAAGGTGAAAAAAATGCATAGCAAAGTAGGTTTGGGTTTAGTAAATTATTTACATGGCCTAGAAAAATTACTGCACATGTATTACTGAATAAGAAACCACTTGGCTGCCACTGAGCATCAGAAGTGCACATCAAGACATGACATCAACAGCAAACAAACAATTTCTTTTTTAAGCTTAAGCTGTCATGGGCAGATAAAACCCTCAGAGACACTGCATAAGACACTGGGCTACACTGAACTGAAATCTTTTGAGTCCCGGGAGAAAGAGAGAGAGAGAAATAGACAGAACAAATTCACATTCAGTTTATTTCTACCTGTGAGTCGAGTTGTTCTTCGTAAGTGTGCACGCCGTACTTTTTGGCTACCAGTGAGAAAACCTGCAATCACAACAAGTGCCTTTATAACTTTGATTCTCTAAAATCACTGTTAAAAAAAACTGTTCATATTAATTGATAAAATTTTTTTTGATCAGGCACTTGGCCAGCAGAGTGCAGGTGGGATCACCAGTCACCATGAGGCTTCTGCAGCTGCCATCACAGCTAGAAAAGGGTAACCATTCCCACATATAAAAGCTGATTCTCTAACGAAACAGAGTCAGTGACGTTGTTTGTATGTGTGTGTGCGAATGTTAGGTTTTGAGAAGATACCCCTGGTTTGGGAAGAAGACATGCAGATGCACTCTAAGTTCCTGGACAGAAAGGTGAAACTGGTTTAATGTTTGAAACTGGCTTAATTCAGATTGACTGTACCTGAATAATAATGTTTCCTCTCATACATCTCATGTTGTATAAATGTGTGTGTGTGTGTGTGTGTGTGTGTGTGTGTCTGCGTGGCAGGAGGAGCTGAAGGCAGACCATGACTCATACCTGAGACAGCATCCAGAGATCCGTGCCCTCATATCTGACTTCCTGCAGTTCTTGTTGCTGAGAAAACCAGATGATGTCTTCCAGTTTGCCAGAAAGTACTTCCTCCCGTTTTCCGCCCGCCGTCCTCCAGAATCAAGTCTTAAAGCTTCACCGTTCTGAAAACTCAACTCATAAGCAGAAACTGTCTTTCCAAACTTGCTGTTTATTTATCACTTAAACTTATTCTGAAGTTTAGAAATTTAATTTGTCTTTTCTTCTGAGTGACAGATGACTAGTGCAACTGAGAACAATAACCTTCACACCTGAGACTTCACCTGACCTATCTGATCTTGCCAAAAAAAAAAAAAAAACTGTAGTGATCTGATCAAATTAATTGGTTCAAATAGTGTTTATAGTTTCGTTTTTGTTTTGGTATCCTGACAGGCTTGTCCGGGCAAAACATGTCTGAACAATGGGAAATTAAAACTGTTCAAAGGGGGTTTGGTTTTAAGCCGGTCTGACTTTAAAAACAAAAGCACGAAATGTAAAACAAAGCTTTTTTTTACATGATCAATAACGTGCTAACCTTCACCAAATAGGTCAAATTGAGCTGTAGGACAGTAACGGAGACTGTTTTCACGTAGGACAACCAGAACTATGACTTCCGCAGCGCAAATAAAGTGTTTTAAATCCATCTGCGTCATCGTCTGTTTCCGAGGCTTTTATTTTGATAGGAAGCGCAAGCTGTCTCAGACTGCAGTTACACCTCTTGGAAATAAAGCGGTTATTTCTTCTGAAAGTGAAACCATTCGCACGAGCAACCGGCAGGTAAGTACGAACCGAGGACTTGACGAGTTAGATGTGACCAGATTTAGACGTAACTCATTTATATTTTTCGATAAACGACCAAAGTTTTACTGAACCAGTGAAGACGAATCGTTTCGCTTTTTGGACGTTAGCGGCTGAAAGGCGAAACAACAACGGTAAGTTTTTCTTATGTCGTGACACACCTTTAGTTGCTGTAAGTGTTAGATAACTATGTTGTTTATGAAGTAACTCAAAAGGTAGACTGTTGACTGAAGGTTAATATTAACCTTACAACAGTTTTCTTGTGCTACGTACAGGCTGTGACTACATATCATCCAGAAAAATAAATTTGAAATAAAACAGCAAGAACTAAACAAGGAAAGTGACTATTTAAAACCGATATACAGCTTCATATAAATATAAATACAGGCTCACACACCCGACTTTTCTTTACTGTAGTTACACGAATTTACGGGAAACAGTCGATCGTTTCCTGCTTGAGGACCGAAGCTCCATGTAGATTCATGAAGGGGGGCATGAAAGGTTTTAAAGGTAATCATTAAGTCACTAGTGACATTTCTATCATCTTTATGTCTTTACATCAAGTAGAAGTGGTATTTAGTCGTGTAATAATTACCTTTTTAGTGTATGGTGTAGTGTCTGGGTATTTGTATTTGTATCTTTATTAAATTTTTTGCCAGTTTTTGGCAAAGCTAGTTTATCAGTTTCACCTTGCCTCAGTTTGTGATTTCAAGTTGTCTGTGTGTAAGACATGGAGTTTTAAAGGCTTTTATTTTGGCCTCTCAAAAACATGCCATATTTTTTTTTTATATATCTGACTTATTTTGTTCTCTGTCTCCCTTATTAATGCTTCTCTGATAGCACTGACCCGAGGAAGGCTTTGAGCAGGGCAGCGGGCCTGTGCTGGTGGGGGGGGGTCTGAGATGGATAGACTGAAGCTGTCCCACATAGACGAGGAGCTGGACTCCTCTGAGGTTGCAGCGCTGCGCTTCTTGTGTCTCGGCATTGTCAACAGGAAACGCATGGAGGGGGTAAGAACCACATGTGTGTTACTAAGATGACACTTTTCTAAAATGACCCGTCTACGTCTCATACTTTTGTACTCAAAACCCCATTTTTGAGGAAAAAATTCTTGTTGACCAGTAAATCTGGGCATTTACAGTTTTCTGTGACTTCAGTATAGTATGGTATAATAGTAGTTATCTTACAGACATTCTACCTAATGGCACTCACCAAATAATGATATTTTTCCCCCATTTTCTCCTGACCTCTAACTATATTATATAAGTGATAGTTCGGGTTATTTGACGTGGGGTTGTGTGAGGTATTGATCTATAGTCAGTGTTTTACCTGCAGTAGATTCGGATTGGCGCACTCCCACACACAGAAGATAAGCTGTGTGCTGCTGTGGACGGGTCGTCTGCAAAAATGTGTTTTAGCCACCTAAAAAAATGCCCACAGAATAAAGCTAATATCTGTTGAAGTGTTGGTAAATTTTGAATATTTCACCAGTTCCTCTTGCCATCAAACAGCCCTTTCCTTTGGAACTAGTTTGTGAACTGACTATAGATGAGTACCTCACACAACCCCACGCCAAATAACCCAAACCATCACTTTAATAATTATTTGTATAAAGCTTTTCCAAAACATAGGAACACTGTCTGTGGAGACACTTTTATCAGACAGCATTTCTCTACAGTTGCTGACAGTCTTCGCTGTTGCATCCTGTTTCACTTCAAGGTTTCTCTTCTCAAACGGTTGTAAAGGATTGTTTGTGTGTTTCTTGGTTTTTCTCATACAGATCAAGGATGCAAAACAGCTGTTCTTGAGACTAGAAGAGAACGGCCTGCTGGATAACGGCGTCTTCCTCGCTGAGCTGCTCCACACTATCCGTCGTGCAGATCTCCTCAGCCTCCTGGAGGCAGACAGCAGGCGACCAGAGGAAACGGATGCGAGACCCACCTTGTCACCGTATAGGTAAGAGCAGTAAGACATTTACAGGAACCAGAAGAGATGACAATATGACTCGATTGAAATACACAGTCAGCTTTTCCTCTCCTGTTGTCTCGTCATCTGTCCCACTCCTCTTCCTCTTTTTCACTCCTCTGTTCTCTCTGTCAGGGTGATGCTGTACGGAATATATGAGGACATGACTACGGAGAATTTTGAGAAGATGAAGTTTCTTTTGAGCAGCAAATTGGGCAGAAGACAAATCGAGGCCAGCAATGTGAGTACACACACCCCCCCACCTGGCCAGCATTTTGTCTAAATCATTGCTGCACCCAGAGTTACAGAAGAAATGACGACATGTCGACTTCACGTTTTGCTTTTGAGTGAAAAACTTTATACACAACATTAGGAACTAAAGTTGTAGTTACATCCTCTTCACTGTAATTGACATACCATCATTGTTGCCCCCAAGTACATAATGTAGTACTTCAGATTTTTCCAAAGAGCGACGTTAACTGTTACATTTACCTGCAATTTAAGTTGATTGTTTGTTTGTTTTATCACCAATGTCAATTTCTTAGTTTCATAATTGGAAAAGGCAAAGTAAAAGGTAAAAGGTTCTGCTAATTTTTTTTTATCAAACAATCATGTACATTTTAGTTTGGAAAATATACAGTAAGTTTAGTTGCAGTGAGGATGAAGGATATTATTATATTTATGTATGTATGAAGCCATTGTAGGTCTTTACAAAACAATACAATCTCCCCACATCAAATTGTAATTAAATAATGGTTTTATTGTTTTTTTGGACTTATATTTGCTTTAGGAGGGTGTAATGTTTAGTCAGCTGAATATATTTTATTACTGTTGTGACCCTGCAGCCGCTTTGCCACAAAAGGTTTTGGTAACTTTGTTTCTTGCGTGGTTATTTTTAACTCTCTTTATCAATTTATTTGTTCATTTATACGTTCTGCCAGGGATTTCTATATTTACAACGTAACGGCAGACACACAGACACAACCCGCTCTTCTCTCTTCATTGCAGACAGCACTGGATTTGTTTGTTGAAATGGAAAAGGCTGATTTACTGTCACCTACAAAGCTTAATGACATGCATGCAGTACTGAAGGAGTTTGATCAACAACTGGCACTGACTGTAAAGCGCTACATGGACGGTATGAAACCCACTGACACACACAAGCACAAACATATTTAAATGTTGTATTACTGTGAAATTCATCATGCAATTGTACTTTTTGCAGAGGTACGCCAACAGAATCCAACTAGAGTTCCTCCTCCTCCTCATGTCAGTATGGTTTTCCAGTTGTGTGCATATTATTATTACTTCTTAGACAGTGAATCCTCGAGTGAGTCACCTCACTCACCGCTGTGACTCTGCTTCTTTCCACAGAGGGTCAACAACGGCTCTCAGCAAACACCATCCACCCTGTCGATATCTGAGACTCAGCCCAATAGTAAGCTTCTCCTTTTTACTATTTGTAATTAATTAGTAATTAATCACAAACTTGACGTTCATTCACACACACAGCCATTGAATAACGACTCCTTATGGTTACACTACAACTTCAGAACCCTCCACCTCTTCCTCACTGTTTTAGATATTCACTCTCAGATTATTACTTTCGTCCAAGGGATGTAACTTTTCATCGTTTTTATTCTTCAGTTGAAGGAGAGAGGATTTACTCTGATGCACAACCAAACAGACAGCCCTCCTCTGTTGCCAATGAGGTAACCATTCACACAAGCACAAATACCTCTCCCTTCACTCGTTCATTCATTTAGCAGAACACTAATGTTTATGATGTGTCCATGTGGTTGTGCTTGTGCCCTGTAGGCGGAGTACTACGATCTGAATCATAACCCCCGTGGTTTGTGTGTGGTCATCAACAATGAGAAATTTTTGGGAGAGGAGTTGAAAGATCGAGGGGGAACTCAGGAGGATGCGAGTACGTATTCTTGCGTTTGATCAGCCATGTGATCTGATATATGTATGTACTGTTTATCTGTAAGCTGCTAGGCCCAGCGGCAGTCAGAGATAACACTTATCAGATATGATTTGATGTACGATTAAAAACCAAACCCACCGCTGTTCTTCAGTTTGTCTCTCTTTTCTGTGATACAGATGTTCTGAAATCGGTGTTCTCCCGCCTTGGCTTTACAGTGGTGGTTCACAACAACCTGACTGCTAGCCGCATACGGAGTGAACTGAGAGAGCTGAGCAAAAATGATTTTTTGGCTCATGATGCCTTGGTGAGTGATAACACACACCGTTGGAGCAGCATCATCCATGACTCTTTTGGGTTTATTGCTGAGAGTTAGAGGAGGAAATCAACATGTTTCATATTGTATCACAGTCTGGGCTCAAGCATCACCATTTTCAGTCAGACCTCTCACATCCTTTTACAATTAGGCATTGAAAGTAATGGACAAAATCATCACAGCCACACACTGAAAAGATGCAATCTGCTTAGTTTTGAGGGTTTTATTCATCTTTGGTTTCTCTAATTATTTAATAAATGTCTCAACAGTTTAGCCCCAGAGTCTCTTTCCAGATAGACTCGAATGCAAGACAGAAACAGAGTAACTGCAAAATACCACAATGTAGATCTAAATTTGGACAATCAGCTTTCTAATTAACTCTAGATATAAATTCCTCTACGACAAAGGTTAAGTGCCGGCTGAAAGCAAACCAAAGCTGTATCAATTTCACTGCACACGTAAAAGCCCAACTAGGGACAAGCGTTGAAAATTAGCAATAGCTATAAACTTTCTGTGCTACACATCAGTTTCATGCCGTGAACTGGAACTATGTTAAATTACGTCATCCCTCTTAAATAAATAAACAAACTAAACTAAAAATAAACTAAATTTCATGTGGTAAATATGAAGCTACAGGCAGCAGCCTGAAATAGTCCGGCACATAAACTCCTGGAAAACTGCAACTTGTCATTTTTACACTTTGGTATCAGATAAAAGATGTTAATTAGTGACCAATAGAGAAGCTGTATCTCTGCACAGAGCCAGGTTAACTGTTCCCCCCCTTTTTCCAGACTTTATGCTAAGCTAAGCTAAGCTAAGGTAACCAGCTGCTGGATGTAGCTTCATATTTATTGTACAATCAATCGTCTTGTCTGACTCTCAGCAAGAGAGTGGATGAGCGCATTTCTGAAAATGTTGGTGGTCCTGTCAAATAATGAATTTTTTAAAAGCCTGGTTAACCTGCAGGTTTCTGTGATGATTTGTGATTTCTTGCATATAGAATTATGCTAAATTTTATTAGGTATCATCCGGAAACATATAAAATCCAAGTTAAACTGAGCCGTACTGCAAACTTAAAAACTGTGCTTGCCTGTGATCTTAGGTGATATGTGTGCTCTCCCATGGAGAAAAGGGATGTGTCTTTGGGACCGATGAGAAGAAAGTGGGACTGCGAGAACTGACGTTGCCCTTCACGAGTAAGAATGCCCCCACCTTGGCCAGGAAGCCCAAACTGTTCTTCATCCAGGCGTGCCAGGGGGATGGCTACCAGGAAGGATCCGTGCCGTGTCCCCCGAGGCCAGGAGAGGAGGAGGTCAGACACTCCCGTCTGCAGGAAGACGCGGGTCCCGTCCGCGGCGAGACGGTGGCTTGGGACGCTGACTTCCTGATGGGCATGGCCACCGTGCCAGAGTGCAAGTCATTTCGAAACACTTCCACGGGCTCCATCTACATCCAGGAGCTGTGCAGACAGCTGATCAGATCAGCAGATAGGTGAGAGGCACCTCCACACAGAGTTACAGTATGAAAGGTTCAGGCAGAGCTTTGACTAAATCAGTTTCAAGGTTCAAGGTCAATTTGTTGCACAGCCTGCAGTAAATAAATACAGTAATCAGACACACACACACACACCTACAGTCAAACAGTTTACACAAACCAGTGGTAGCAAGGACAAATGAGTTCTTGAGTCTATTGGTTCTGCATCTAGACATAATGCATCTGCAACCAGATGGAAGAAACTTACACTCCCTGAACAGCGGGTGACCTCAGTCATCCAGGACTGACTGGGCCTTTTTTTATGGCTCTGGCTTTGTACAGTACCGAGAGTTCCTCAACAATCTCACTACGCCATCCAACCCGTTTGTTTTTCAGGGTTAGTGACCCAAACCAGCAGATAAATGAAAATGTTTAAAGCAGAATCAATAAAACATTTTCATGAAGGAGGTGTTAACATTAAAACCTCTAAGCTTTCGGGAGAAGTACATACGCTCGTGGGCCTTTCCACAAACAGCATCAGTGTTTGGGTCAAATGTTTATGTTTATTGTGAATTATTGTCCCCTGATATTTGTACTGTTGGAAAAATGTCAACAACCTGACCGTGAATAAAAACAGGGGGAACAGGAGGCAGCCACTGTCTTTGTCTTTTATAACCAGGCTGGACCTTGATTGAACCACGGCCTGTCGATAACTTACCGACTCTTACTGAAATAATTCCCTATAAAGCCCTGCATAAACTTTGTATCACCCAATGTGCAATTATGAATGGAGGTGCGTATTTCCTGCAGTTTGTTCTACTGTTGTGCTGAAGACAAATGAGCAAACTTGCTGCACTTCACTTTTAATGATAAAATGTTTGGGTGCCAGTTAAGAAATGGAGGCTTTTAGTTTTGTGCTGCTGATGTGACAAGTCAGAAGACGTGATGTTGACATTAAAATATACCTACAATTGTAAGACTGATCATTAGTAACGTGTCTCTGATGTGTTCTGTGCAGCGTGGAGATGGACGACATCCTCTCTGTCCTGACGCGTGTGAACCGTGAGGTCGGCAAAGGAGAGTATCTGACACACAAGCAGATGCCGGAGCCCAAGTACACACTGACCAAGAAGCTGGTCCTCAAATATGTGTGAGCCGCCCCGAACAAAGTGCTACGCTGGAAATGTGCCATATTTTCTCGTGTGTGTGTGAGTGTGTGTGAGTGTGAGAGATGTCTTCGTAGGGTACTGATGGATAGATGAATAGAAAGTGTCTGTGTCTTTGTAATTTTCCTGAGAAGCTGACAAACTCAATTTTAGTCAGTCCTGTGTCATTTATGAAATATAAACAAAAAGACAACATATAAAACTTTTTTTTTTCTTTCTTTCTCTCTCATGGTGTGCTATTATTACAGACCACAAACCCACAGCTGTAGAAGAACGTGTGAACTCACAGTTTAAACTAAATAAATTTATAGTGCACATAAAAAATGAAGATTATTCTTCCTTTAAAATGAGTTTTACTTGTTTTGGTGGATGGTGGAGACAGAAATTAGTTACAAACAAAATGTAAAAACACAGTAAAGTAAAGTGAGTAAAGACAGACACATCAGTAAAATGTACTAGGCAGACAAATTGTAACGTTTACATACAAACTATTTTAATATTAAAGTCGGGGTGGAAATTATCAAAGTACATTAAGTTGAGTATCTGTACTTGAGTTTGTTTTTGTTTTTAAACTTGTGACTTTTTCTCCACTGCACATAAAGACAAGTATTCTACTTTAGACTCCACTACATTTTCTATGAAGTACTTGTTCCTCTGAAGCAGAGTTTTAAGTCAAAGGAATTAATTTTATTTTATTTTAAAAATGTGATAGACCATACACTGTGGTCATCGCAGGAGAAAAAACAATCGCAGCTGACTCCTCTGTTATGTTGTGCAGCTGCATTTTTTGAACAGCTCAGTTTAAACTTGGCAGTGTCCCAACGATGGCTGCTTTAGATGAGGCAGAAGTTTCTTCACCAGAGCAACTTGGTTTTATCTCAAGTCCATGTTTGAAGTTTTAGAAATAAAGAAAGATTCCTTTTGAATGTTTACCACAACCAAACTTCATCACTGCCTTTGAAAAAAGAAATACGAAAACAATAATAGCTCCTTTTGTTGATTCAAATGCTGTTTCATGTTCTTTTCAGTTGTCTTTGTATCATATCCATATAAGCTTTTTATTCTACAGTACTTTAACTCCAGTAAAAACTTGACAGATCAACCTTCACTTGTGTTGGAGTATTATTTGACCAGGAGGATATATACTACTACTAGTACTATGTCTACCTCTAATTAAAGATGGTCCAGGTAATTATAATTACATAATGTTGGATAATTTGTTCTTCTATAAATATATCATACTCTATGGCCTTAGATACTTTATTTAACACTTAACTGCTGGTTTCAGATCAATGCAAAGGAGTAAATCTATATTTAAACTATATTAAACTACAACAAATATTTAGTTAATGTATTTTAGTATGTAGTTGTAATGCACCTTTACTCAGTAACATGAGAAGAGCCTGTTGAAAATGAATCAGCTGATTCTGGCAGGTCTTGTCGCACACAAACACACACACGCACATGCGTGTATGTGTGTGTGTTTGTGTGTGAGTGAGTGAGTTAGAGTGAGAGAGTGAGACAGGGCTCCACCCTGGTCCTCCCTGTTCCAGGAAATGTTCTCCACCGCTGCTTCACATCTGACTGCTGCTGCTGCTGCTGCTCAACACACCGCAGGACAGGCCGGGGAGCAGACAGACTGACAGGCCGCCGAACAAGCTCACATTAAGCCTTGCTCTGAATCTCTCCGGTACTTGGGAGCTTTTTTTTTTTGGAGGCAGAGAGGGTGTGTCTGTCTTTTATTGTCCCACTTTATCGCTGGAAAACTAACACGACCGGATTGTTTCTTCTCACTTGGTAAGTGAAGCTAAATTAAATATTTTTTTTTCTCTTGTTTTCGTTGCGAATCAACGACCTGGAAACATTAAACAGAATAGAGTTAATTTAATCTAATTTTAACGTCCCAACAAGTACAGCCTTGAATGTTTGTGAGTGTCTATTCATAGCAGGGCAGTCCTGTTTGTCCCGCAGGCCTACGTCACTCACCTGAAAAGGCTTTTTGTGACCGGGGGTTTGGTGCCGGTGAACAGGGTGGAGTGGGTGCAGTCTGTCCGCTGGACGTGTTGGGACCGAGCTGTGAATGTGGTGACTGCGCACTTTACTTTTATTCCTGTGCCCCGTCCTGTTGCTTATTATTTGTCTGTTTTAATGAACTGCAGGACAAAGTTACAGCACACTTCTTTTTTCTTTTTTTTAATTTATTTATTTATTTTTATTTTGGGGGCAGACACGTTGAAAGTTGTCGTGTCAGGAAGAGAACAGGTGTCACCAATAACATTAATGATGAGAAGTGTCACAGTCAGCCATGTCAGGGAGCCCGCGTGCGTCCTCTCACCGCCACTGACCAGAAACACATAAGGGGCCAGTTTTAATGTGATTTCCGTTAATTAGCTACACCTGTTTCCGCACACGTGAATTGATCTGTGGTCATGTGACGGACAAATCCCTTTTTGGTTCATTCACACAAACAAACACTGGTATATAAACAATTATCTATGAAGGGACAATATCTCATATTAGAATATAATTGAAATAGCTGTACTTCACTAAGGCACTGCACACAAATTATTTTGATAGTGAGCAGGGTTGAACCTTGAGCTGTCTTTTTAAATTGTCTGTAACCATTTATGTAACTACTAATGGCTGCAGCTGACAATTATTTTCATTCTCAGTCTGCTTTGTAATTTACTGTTTTGTTTACAAAACATCAGATAGCAGTGAAAAGTGCCCATCCTAGTCTCGCAGACTCCGAGGAGAGACGTCTTCAAATAGTTTTTTCTGACCAAGTGTCCAAAACTCAAATATAATCAATTCACTATCGTCTCAAATTTAAGCAACTGAAACCTTTTGAATTTTTTTGCATTCATACTTGAAAAATGATTTAATCGATCAATTAATCAAAATATTGTCTGTCAACCAACTAAGCGACTCGTTGCTATTAGCTATATTGCAAAGGCTGACGTTAAATACAAATTTAGGAATAAAAAAAATTACAATGCCTGCCCCATTTTCTAACCCCCTCCTCTACTAATACTTCACATACAGTCCATAAAGATCACTCACTGACTTCACAGTGGATGGACGTTGCAACAGAAGAACCTTGCAGAAGTGGAGCTGCAATGAAAATATATATATTAAATTCATAAAGATCGGTGACTGCAGTTGTTTTAAAATGCTGATCAATTTCAAGCCCAAAGCTGTGAACACTTCAGAGTTGCATGATTTGAAAAGGAGAAGTCTTGATGTCATGGGTCATGATGACTAAGGACAAACACCAGGAGATTGTGATTGTAACAGTCTTCACCGACGATAAAGAAAAGACACTTAATGTGGGACTCAACAACAACGTCTGCTTTTAAAAAACAAAACCTTGGACTGTCGCAGCAGAGAGTGAAAATTACAAGCTTTGTCAAACCGGTTCTCACTGTTCATCTCTTCTATTATTTTGTCCACCCACACGACAGACTTCACATGAAAGAACAAGCGTGTTTCTCAGACACAGGTTATTGGACACATATCCTCTCTGCCGGTCATGTGTTTAGAGATACAGTATTTGAGGAACTGTAGTTTGTGTCTTGCTACATGGAGACAAACAAACTTATTACAGCGTCGCAGGGTGGATACTCAGATACAATGACTCAGAACCACGTGACGATTTGGTGTTAGTGGTGATCATAATGATGAAGTAGAATAATCCGATGTGGAAAATCAACATCAGCTTGAACCTAGCCAACCTTTGTGTGACATTTTCTAAATGTTCACTTTTCTGAAGCAGCAGTTCCTGTTTAAACAAACAACCGCCCTAATCCCTGTAATCTGCTAACAACGTCTCTGTGACCTAAAAGTGATCAGATCTGTGTCTGTGTCCCCCTCTGTGAGTTTGACTGTGGATACTCTGAAGCACTTTTTCCATTCAGTGTTTTCTGTCCTGTTGCTTGGTGCTCGGGGTGTGATGTAATGGCAGCATGAGGTGGAGTCAGCTCTTGAATTCCTCTACTGTGTGTATTCCCTAAAAGTCCCAGTGAAAATGGAGCTCAGGGAACATTTTGCATTTTGTAAATAACAGAGCAAAGAGGAACATGCCAAATAACAGATCAGTGAAAGAACTCAGTCGACAAGATCATCTGTAAAGTGTTAAGAGTGTAAATCTGGCAGAGATGTTTTCCACGTCTGAATGAGTCACTCTGTAAATGGTTTAATTTGTTGGTGAAATACATAAAGCTCCCTGCTAAAGTATCACAGTTTCTTTTTATCCTCGTTTGCAGAAACATGACAATAAGTGACTACATTGTGTGTGTGTGTGTGTGTGTGTGTGTGTGTGTGTGTGTGTGTAGTTTATTATTAGAAATTTCCCCCCAGAGATCGGTGTGGTGGTTCCTGAGCCTGTGGTGGTTTCTGTGAACCACATTGCTAAGCAGAACCATATGTTCACTTTAACCTGATACAACCCCAGATGTACAGTGTGTTATAAGGTTAGCTCCAGTGTGACTGTTACCCAGCCGAATCTAAGTGTTGGATAAATATATGTGCACTCACACACACACACACACACACACACATACTCATTCACATACTCATTACCCAGGCCTTAAGCCAGTCTGTGCTGTTGTTACTGAAGCCGGGACTGTGCATTTTTGAAGTGTCAGAGATTCTTCGACACTGAGCAGCATGCAGAGTCAGCTACTGTGTCCTGTTAACATCTTTGGTTGTCTATCTGTGGTTTGTTGTGGATTTAAAAGTCAACCCACTGCTTTATTTGATTTACACAATTATTTGCACTGATGTGTAAATATATCTTTTTCTGTTTTTCATGTTTTTTATTTCATAAAATGTAGATATCACGATATAAAAGTACCCATGGGGCATTTAATTCATATCTCTCACCCCTATTATAGATATTAGATCAGAGCCCGACTGATACTTGATGATTGAGGCCTGTACCAGAAGTACAGATTAAGATATGTCATCTGATATTCAATATTTCACATAAGCACTCAAGATAATAAAAAAAAACTTGGATAAAGATCTTTCAAATTTGATTATTAAAGAGCGAGACATGTTGTCCGTGCTCTCTGATGGACAGAATACTGTGTGTGTGTGTGTGTGTGTGTGTGTGTGTGTGTGTGTAACAGTGATACTGTTTAGTTAAAACCTCAAATTATTGTTTTGTGGTCACTTGCGGGCAGACACAAACCCCACGTTGATGTCACCTCATAAAGTTAATATGGCTAACATGTTAGCAAACAGTTCCCTGTGCACACACCCAGCAGATACTGAGCAGCGTTGGCGCTCATTCACAGCCTCATTTCTGGCCAAATATGAGTCAAATATTCTCCCTCCTTTTTAGACCTTTTTCGGTGTCCACTGACTCCTGAGGGGAAATATGTGACTTTTTAGCTGCCAAATGCTCCACCATGTTCACTCTAACCTGGACAGTCGACTGCATGTTGTTGCTGGGCAGCTTTTTCACTGAAGACTGCTGCCGGCTGTGGCTGAAAACAACGTGGATTAGAGCAGCGAGGGTGAACCAAAACATCTAAGTTGCCGGCTGTAAAACCAAAAAGAGCTGACGCACGCTAAAGTGCTCTGAAGCTCTGAGGGGAACGGTGGAGTCGGGGTATAATCACCTGTGCGTTCGTCATTACTCCCCCTTCCACATTCACATAGTCGTTTCATCCATTCGTAATGCAAAAATATTGATTAGAGCAGCATTAAAGGCCCATATACACACTGATAGCTACATATCTGAAAAGCTCAACTCTCTGGACGTTATTGACCGTGGCAGTTTATTGCTCCTCTCTGCTCATCGCTCTCCCCGTTGTCGGCTTACGTGCATTGAAATGTGAAACAGATGTGAACTGTGTTGTCTCCTGCTTCTCTCCTCACAGGCATCATGTCCAGGTCAGACTACCCTCCAGGGTATAATGACTCTCACGGCCTGCTGTACCAACCACAGGGCGGGAATTACCCACCACCTCCTGCCTATGGCTTCCCCGCCTATGGTGGTCCGCAGCCAGGCCAGCCGTCTGCTCCCTACCCCACCGCTCCAAACCCCCATTCCTACCCAGGCCAGCCAGGGGGCTACCCTCCTGGCCCGTACCCAGGACAGCCTCACCCAGCTGGGCCTCCAGGAGCAGGCTACCCCAGTCACCCTCCCATGCCTCCTGTTATGCCACCGACCATGCCGTCAGATATCCTGACCTCCGGTAAGACCGGGACCACCAACAATATCAGTGTGTGTTTTTAAAGCTCAGTAAAACAAATGTGAAATATGTAAAGACAGTACTCTGCCATTTCTTTTGACAAAACTTGGAAGGATGTTGCAATTTGGCAACTGGCACGTCTTTAAAAATGACTCTGACTAAATTCTGACACAGTAATAAAAGAATAAGTTGAATGCATCTTAGCATTAAAAAATTACATGTAATAAAGCTCAATGTTTTTAAAGGAATATTAAAGCAGCTCTATAGCTCACTAGTTAAAACATTATATCTTAGTTTAAAACATCAGTGTGTAGTTTTATGGGGGTTGTGTGCTGGACTCAAAGAAATCACTGTTTCCGATCAAGAAATAGTCAAACACATAATCCCCACATAAAACCTTTGTTTTTGTCAGTTTCAGTTTTTGTACAGAACTAGAGGTTATGTTACGCCAGGCTGGATTTGTCCCTCTTTTGTTTTCCCAAATGTCAAACCATGAGGGTCGCATGGTTTGTGCTCATATGTCTGTTGTGACACAGGTGATGAGTTCGCGGCGAGCGGCAGCGGTTGGGACAGTCTGAGCATTCGGCACGCCTTCATCAGAAAGGTAAAGCGTACTCGTCGCGCACGCCGTGTGTTACCATCACACTGGAGTCACAGAGCAAAGCATGTGGTTTTTCTGAAAGATAAATCGTTATAAAAAAAATCCAGATGTTTGGTTAACAACACCCTCAGCACGGCTTTGCAGGTATTTTCAGACTCTTCTAACCACCTGGATCAAACTGTTTTATCTTGAAAGATTTTTAAGCTGTTTACTAAGTTGCAACTAATCCACCCAGAGACAGGAGATTTCTGTGACTCATATATTTATCTTTGTTATATTTTTACATATAAATGTTTATATTTTTCTTGTGTCATACAACATGATAAAGAAGATATTTAAGACCCAAACTGGGGCGTATGCTGCCGTAGAGTGGACCGAACCGCTCTGATAAGAAACTACAGGGTGTAATCTCTTTTTTGTTTGCCTGTGTTTTTCAGGTGTATTTGATTTTGGCGTCTCAGCTCCTCGTCACCACAGCCATTGTGGCTGTATTCACGTTTGTGTGAGTATACCGAGTGTGTCTTGTGTGCGGCTGTTAGGGTGTGTATATAAACACATGTGTGGGTGTGTGTATCCTGGTGTAACTGTGCGTCTGTTTCCCACAGCCAACCTGTCAGATATTTCGTGCAGCGAAACCAAGCCATCTACTGGGCGTCATAGTAAGTCCTGCTCTGTGGTAACATCAGTGCCTGTGGCTTTATAAGGATCCAAATTAAAGTTTGTGAATATTCATGTTGTCATCTCTTGTGGTTTTAGTGCTGTGTATATCGTCACCCACCTTGTGCTGGTCTGCTGTAAGGGCCCCCGGTGAGTGGGGTTGCTCAGTTTGACAAGGCCTTAGAAAGAATATCTGTACAAACAATATTTATAGAACAATCACGCTTTTAATTTTGTAATCCTCTGTTTTACAGGAGGAAGTTCCCATGGAACGTCATTCTGCTGTTCATCTTTGTGAGTTGGATGACTTGTGAATCAGGAAATGGAGACTCATACTTACTGACAGTGTCAGATCTATTCTTGGATTTAATACAGTAACTTCTCTCCTAATGAACATTTCCATTAGTCTCTGCTAGCGTTGTCCCAGTGCTGGAGGTTTGTCTTTGATATCAGAACGAAGCAGTGAGTCACCACACTTGACTCGGGCTGTTTGCATAACACTTTTGATATGTTGTTTCGGTGTCTGTGTTTTATCAGCTCCACGAGCGACACAGCTCCATGTGTTAATTCATGGGCTGATTTTCTCAGTAGATGTGGACTGTTGATATTCAGCTCTCACACCGCTGAATTATTTATATGTGTTACAATTTGGCAGGTCCATTACAAAAGTTTTCTTCCCCTCTTTTGGCTATTCTTCAATCCACATTGCATCTGGAAGTTTTACGTTTTAGCACATTATTATGTCTTCAGCACGTGATTGTGTTTTTTCTTTTCCTTAAATACACTGCAACTCTATTTTTGACTGGACAGTTAAAGTGTTATTATAGCTAACTGCTGTTAAACCTCCAATTATGTCTATTATTTACAGACTCTGGCTTTGTCCTACATGACTGGATCCATATCCAGGTAAAGAATAAAGCTACACGCTCCAGGTAATCTGAAAACCTCCAGTCACTTTCCTTCTGTATTAACTGTATGTTGCTCTTTTTAATCTTAGTTACTACAACACAAAAGCAGTGTTCCTCGCTCTGGCTATCACTGCCGTCGTCTGCATCGCCGTCACCGTCTTCTGCTTCCAGACAAAGGTAGGGTGTGTGTGTGTGTGTGTGTGTGTGTGTGTGTGTGTGTGTGTGTGTGTGTGTGTGTGGTTAAGGTATTACCTCATGCTGTGGTGACCTATATCTGTTTACACAGTCACATTTTGGGAACTTGTCTTCCCCATAACGTGAATCATAAACCTTTAAGGTGAAGACATGTTTCAATGTGATGTTTATGTTTGGGTTAAAGTGAGTTTCCAGGAAATGAATTCAAGTCAATGTTATGTCCTCGGAAGTCATGGAAACACAATTCTGTGTGTGTGTGTGTGTGTGTGTGTGTGTGTGTGTGAGAGAGCTTATCAGCTTCAAACGGCCACATTGTTTTTGTGCAGTCACATGTATTAACATGGCCTTTGGTGGTTTCTCTCTCTAAAAGGTCGACTTCACTAAGTGCCAGGGCCTCTTCTGTGTGCTGGGGATCGTGGTGTTTGTGACCGGCATCATTACAACCATCGTGCTCTCCTTCAAATATGTGAGTTAAAGCTGACGTGAACAACAGAAACACAGTTTCTTAAAGCACGTCTTCAAGTTTTCTTTGTAACGCCTGTTTGTTGTTGCAGATTCTGTGGCTTCACATGCTTTATGCAGCTTTGGGAGCCATAGCCTTCACTATGGTGAGTATTTCACTTAGATGTTTCGTAAAACAAGGTGTGCGTCAGAGTTTTTAAAAAACGTTTTCTCTGTGTTTGTAGTTCCTGGCGTACCACACACAGCTGCTGATAGGGAATAGGAAGCACTCCATCAGTCCAGAGGAGTATGTGTTCGCCGCACTCTCAATCTACGTCGACATCATCCAGATCTTCCTTTTCCTGCTGCAGATTATCGGTGCTTCGACCAAATAAGTCAAGAAGGGTACAGCTGGGTTTCCACAAAATCATTCCGTGCTTTTTTGAAACCTTTTTGCTTGATTTCAGTCAGAATCAGATTAAATTTATACAATCATGGTGCACATCAGGGAACATATCAAAGGGCTGAATTTGAGATTTTGTCATAGTGTAGGAAGATTAATCCTACGCGCAAAAAATGCACTTTTTCTGAAATCTGTATTTGTCTGTAGCTGCATTAAGCAACTTACAAGTGGTTAGCAAAGCATATAAATACTATAATATAAATATCTATGGACATTGGAAAGTCCGCCGCAACATTTATTCACTCTTGCTGGACTTCAGTTAAGGCCGAAAGTGTTTTTCTCTGCATGTAAATACTAATACTACTACTGCTACACATGAACTGTTGAAAATGGGCAAATATGTTTATTCCAATGTGCAAAGTCAGATTTGCCAACACTATCTCTCTTGTTGCCTTTTGAACAAATCTGTATGTAACAGACGGGGTGGGCATCGTCCAAAAATTTAATTTCAATCCGATAAGTAGTACCAGGGCCCGGATCACGATTTCCATACTGATATTGATTTATTCATATTTATTTTTATTATTTAAAGCAGCTGTACTTTAATGTTGGGGCAGAAATGTGTCATGATATATGACGTGAATGAATCATTAATAGGCAACTTCTAAATACTTCTAAAAAAAATTAGCACAGAATGATAGCAAGTATTTCTTTTTACTATTCTCTGTAAATTACTCGAAAGGGGATAGTCTGACATTTTGGGAACTACGGTGGCCCTGAGAGTTCAGCGCACTGCAACTTAAGAAAACACATGCATATAGACGAAACACACGCACATTTAGAAAACATCATCAGTTTGACAACACATGCGCTGCAAATACTCACAACACAACCAGATACACAAACAAGTAGCACAGACCACAACGTGTTTCCAGGGGACACAATAAAGTGATGAACCCGACCGGGACACACCTGTCGTTCGGTGCTCGTCTGTGCTACTTGCAGCAAATGTGTGTATCTGGTTGTGTTGTGAGTATTTGCAGCGCACGTGTTGTCAAATTGATGATGTTTTCTGAATTTGCGTGTGTTTCGTCTATTTGCGTGTGTTTTCTTTAGTTGCAGTGCGTTGAGCTCTCGGAGCCACAGTAAGGAACCCTTATTTGCTTTCCTTGCTGGTTTGGGCGATAAGACTGATACTATTCTTATATCTGTACTCTAAAATTAGCTTTGTTAGCTTTGCATAGAGACTGGAGACAGAGGGAACCATCTCGCCTGGCTCTGTCCAAAGATTAAAAATAAAATCAGCCTACCAGCGCCGCTAGTTAACACAGAGTCACTTGTTTGTTTTATCCATAAAATAAACAAAGTGTCAAAACATCAGATTATGCTTTTACAGGAATTATGTGCTGGACATTTTCTTGACCATGAGCTGTAAATCCCTTAAATCTCAACTGGATGTGTTTTTACACTTCTTTTTTTTTTTTTAAAGATTGAACAAACCAAATATATATATATATATATGTGTTTACCAGTGAGCGTTTCCGGTTGGTAGGTGGATTTTATTGACTTTGGAGAGAGTCAGGCTCGCTGTTTCCCCCTCTTCCAGTCATTATGCTAAGCTAAGCTAAGATAGCTGCGACTGCTAGCTCACCTTAGTTTCATATTTACCGTTCAGACATGATGGGTGTTACAACCATCTCATCTAGTTCTCAGAAGTATTATCAGTTCATTACTCAGAAGTGTAGAACTAATACTTTTAATTATAGGCAGGTTAAAATGTAAATAAACATTAATTGTGAACTCTTTAAACTAGCACACACAGACAACCGCAGCTGAAAAGCTAACAGTGCTGCTCTGAGAGGAGTGTTGGTACCAAAAATGTGATGTTACATGCTGTAACATTTGGTATTGATCCTAATGACACTTTATGGATGAAACACTTATTTGTAGTATCAATACTTTGGGATTGAGTGCCCGCTCCGGAGGTACAGCTCAGTACCGACAGCCTCAGATCTGCTGTCATGGGTGTATGTCAGCAAGCCTTTGCTGATGGTCGTACATGTGTTGCTCTATTGTCATTATTTACATACATCACTATAGTGCCTTCACAATGACAATGTTTGTGAGATTACATTTTTTACTTTAAGAAGTACAAGGTTGTACTCAAAGAGCTTTTATAGTATTGTTACATACTGTATGTGCCTGTTTGTAAGTTCCTCTGTTACAGTCAGATTTGGGTCACATACTGAGAGCAGCAGCCGGGTGAGTTTGTCAGCACAATCGGTGCCACAGTGTTAACTTATTGGACCACTGTTCAAAATCTCTTGCCATGATTAACCCCACCCGGCTGGTCCTCCACACACCACGACTCATAGAAAGTAATGACCCAAGCCGAAGTTACATATAAGCCTTGACTCTAAACAAATACGGCAAACATTTTGACTGTGTGGCATAGATAGTGAGTTGGTATGGGTTTGTAAATATACATATCAATGCTGAAGAAAATCTGTTTGCCTTTTCATATCAAATAAAAGATTTTTATTTGAGTTTTTGATGTGATTCAGCAGCAGCTGTAACATTTACAATCAGCATTTAAACAGGAAGTGATTTATAAATATATGTTTTTATTTGTTTCCTCTTTTTTTTTTTTTTTTATAGATCATCATGGCCATGATACATCATGTTCATGAGAAAGGGGGGAAAAAAAAAAAACTGTCCTTGTGGAAGGTTTTTTCACAGATATGTTCCTTCCCAGATTTCCTGTGTCCACCTATAGAAGAAACAGTTGCCCAGAGTGTCTCACAGAGCTTTTGGGTGTTTCAGCGCTCATTGAGTTGACCTCTCTTCTGTCCTTGGTCTTGGGCAGTAGTGCAGGATTCACTGTCTAAGTCTGACATTCAGAATACGGTGCAAATCCTCACAGCCAACCATGAACTTTATTGGTCCAGGTTAACCTCTGTGTGACGGCGGTAGCGACTGCCTTCATAGTCTCCTTCGTTTGAACTTTGCATCCTCTGTCGAATCTTCAGCTGCTTCAGTCGGTTTTTGTCCACTTCTCTCTTGGCCAGGATGAAGCTGATGATGCCTGTGGGGAGGCCTATCATCCTGGTCGGAGGCGAGAGAAAGACATGAAGTTAAACAGATCCATGAGTGTACAGAAACTGTGTTAAGGTGTGTTTTAGGAAGGGATCGTCTGTTGTGGTAGATTTAAGAGCAGTAGAGCATGTGACAGGAGACAAAGTTCACTGTTTGCAATGGGAAGTTTTATGTAGGACTATATTCTTGTCTGGCAAACCTGACACCACCAAAACTGTATTTTAGATGTCCCTGTGGATAAGAACTTTTTTTTGTGCATGACACAATCAAATCAATGAGTAAACAATAACTAGCTAATACTGCCGGAGTTGCTATGTGTTGTTTTGGCTCACTGTGAATCATTTAAAGGTTATTGAGTTAGACACTGGGGTGTACAGGAGAGAGGAGACTCACCAGGCATAGCCAATCTTCACCATGGGGTTCTTTGCCTTCTTCTTGGGGATGTACTCCGCATCTTCAGCCTCCTCCTCCTCCCTGGCTCTCCTGTCGTCTGTGCTGCTGCTCCTCTGTGGCTCTGTCTTGGAGCTGCTCAGAGAGGCGGCAGAGGAGACATGTAGCGGCCGCGAACACCGACACACTGCCGGGGTTTGGCCGCTCTGCGTGAGGAGCCACCGGCCAGGAACAAGGTGTAGACCTAGCAGGAGGGAGAGAGCACTTTATCCTTCAGTGATGAGACTCGAGTCGCCTCCGAGGCCAGGTTAATGAGGGCTGATTCACAGGAACATTCACCTGTGCTGTTCAGAATCAATACCAACTCGCGCTAAATGACGTCATTTACACAAACGACTCCGTCACAGCTTCAGCCGACGGTTATTTAAATATTAATGTTATTAAAGACACCGTTTACAGAACACGTAACATCAATACGTTTGTTTTACCTTTCAGTGCTGTCCTGACTGCTCTCACGTAGCACGCCGCCATGTTTGTTGAATAACGTCAGTAGCGCATGCGCAGTGACATTTCTCATCAAAGCTGCTGCCACCTAGTGGACAATATTAACGCGGCACTTCTGTAAACTACAAGAAATGACTAAAAACAGTCCAAACAGATTCGTGTGTTTGTCAACATTTTATTTATTCAACCAACATTTTTCAACATCATAATTTTACAAAAAGACAAAACTTGAAACCACGGAGGTAAGCTGCAGTGTATGCCTCTAATATATAGTTACAATAACAAATAGCAAGTACACAATTCAGGCAGTTCCCTCAGTCAAACAGAAGCCAGCAAACAACTGGAAAAAATAGCAGCATATTTACAATAGTCAGTTTGACAAAGTAAAAAATGTTTTTTCTTTAAGAGCCCCAGAATCTAATCTTTTTACAGTAGAGATGATAAACTCAAAAAACAAGTCATCAATAGCATCTCCAGTGCTACTATTATGTATGCATTACATATGAGCATTCATATTCAACACCTAGAACATCAACTTTATTGCCAAGGTTTAATATCAGAAGTCATGGAAGCTGTGAGCGTGGAGAAAAAGAGTTTAATCTTCCAGGATGTAGTTGGGGTTGACGACCAGGACACCTTCCTCTGGGCTCTCAGACTCTGAGCCCTTCAGCCCCGCCTGAGACAGCTCGATAAGGATGTGATCCTGGGGAAACAGACACACATTATCAGTCATGTCAACCACACTCAGTTTAAAATGAGTCATGTTTGTCTGCTGGTTTAAAAACAGCAGTTGTATTTCTGAGAAGTGAACTCACATAGTGCACCAGCCTGTGGATGACCTTCTCTATCAGCCCCTTCTTATTGACGAGCTCCTCCTCCGAGTCGATCTCTGACTCGATCTCCTTCAGATACCAGTTCACCACCGCACTTTTCTTCAGCTCCTCCTCTTCCTCAGCTGCAGAGAACAGTGAAAATGTGAGATTTAAAAAATACTGTAATCATAAAGTAGATAGATAGAGAAGCAGACAGTAGGAAGGAGAACACTTCTTACCCTCCTCCGCTCTACGCAGATGCAGGACGAGCAGGTTGGAGATGCGTTTGTACTCGGGGAAAGACAGGCGGAGAGACGGTTTCTGGCTGCCAGGCTCAGCGTGGCCGTTCACACCATTGACATGCCCATTAATCCCATTAACGTGGCCATTAATGCCATTAATGCCATTAACACCATCCACATGGCCATTCACTCCATTCACACCGTTGGGGATGTTTCCTGCAAATACAAGTTTACGTTAGATGGTTTGTTTTCATCACAGACACAAATCACTGGTCTGGTATAATTATGTCACGCCTCAGCACGTTTACACATTTGTCTCCGGGACTGTGTGTTCACTGTGGGACAGTACCTTCCTCCTGCTGCTCCTCCTCCTCCAGCTCTTCCTCCTGCTCCAGGTTGATGTCGGGCGTCTCCACTCTGATGATGGATTTGTTCAGAAGACGGAAGGCTTCCTTCACATGTTTGGGCTGCACCTGGAGACATGAAGAGAAATGTCAATGGTCACTATTCTGTACCATGTGATATGCCTCAGTTACATTAATCAATATTATTTCACTTTCACTTAAATCGTTTCAAGCTAAATGTATGGTTCATTATATGATCCTGTATCAAGTTATTACAGCTGATATGCAGGTTGGTGGCATCTCTACAGTTTTAAATGTACTTTTAGTGATTTATTCTGTAGTAAGATACATTTTGTCCTGTATCCAGTGTGTCAAACTTCATGTCGACTGTCTGTGCTTTTTGAACAGGAAGTTATTGTTGCACTAACCTCATCACAGCAGTGCATACGCGCCATGCCCTCTGACAGGCGGATCATGCTCTCCAGCTGCCGCACCGTTATCCTCCAGGCAGACTTGGACACACCGCCAGAGCCGTCACGCTGCCGGAGACGCTTGTACTGCTCGACGATGAACTCCTCAGATTCGCTTGAGATCTACAGACGCACAAGTGTGCACAGGTGAGTGAATATATAAAAGCTGGAGCAGGTAGAGCAGGTAAAAACTCCAGAACACACTCACCTTAGGTTTGAACTGCCTGGCAAAGAGCAGATATCTGCGGATCTCATCCAGAGAATACAGTCTGTCCACTGACTCCTCCACACGGGAGTGCAGGTCCACGATACGTCTGGCGATGGCGTAGTCCGTCACCTAGGATACACCCACAGACACAGCATTAGACAAGGTCAGAAACTAGGTTGCTACAGTACTATAGAGACTATAAACAGGATGCAAGAAATAAAGGATATAGCAGATAAACCAAGCAGCTGAATGTGGAAGAGAGACTGTGCACAGACTGCGGTCCGTACCTCGTTACAGTCGTCCACCAGGATGAAGAAGAGGTCGAAGCGGCTCATGATGGGGGCCGTCAGATTGACATTCTGCTTCAGACTCTTGCTGCGGTCGTAGCGCCCGCCGACAGGGTTGGCAGCAGCCAGGATGGATGTGCGTGCGTTGAGGGTGGCCTGGAGGAGGCGGAGACAAAGTCAAGTTATTCTACTGAAAGGAATCATGGGTAACCGAAGTGTTTGGTTTTAACGGCGCAACTTAAAAGAAAAAGGACTTCTTCAATTGCATCAAGAAAATTTACTAGAAAACCTTTATAAAGAGTCTTTAAAGTGCGTATTACTTCAACATTCACTTGAGTTGTGTGGCAACGTGATCGAGCGTCATGTTGGCTGAGGCTGATCTGACTCCGTTACCTTGACTCCAGCCTTGGTGATGCTGATGGTCTGCTGCTCCATGGCTTCATGGATGGCCACCTGGTCCTTGAGGTCCATCTTGTCAAACTCATCAATGCAACATACACCCTGAAAGAAAACACAGCTATTAATACCAGTAAATACCCTTAATACTGTCCTTCGCTGTCCCTTTATAACCTGTAACACTCACATTGTCAGCCAGCATCAGAGCTCCGGCCTCGATGACGAACTCGTGGGACTCCTCATCTCGGACCACGGCGGCTGTCAGACCTGCGGCGGTGCTCGCTTTCCCGCTGGTGTACACTGCTCTGGGACTGACTGAGAAGTGATGCCTGCACACACACACACACACACACACACACACATTTATATATCACCATTACAAACAACAGCTGACCACAACAGTTAACACACCCAGTTCTATATTTGGTAGTTATTACCAACAATGTTAGAGCTAATTGTGACAGGATTTTACCTACAGTACCCATGGACAGAAATACTCGCCACAGTTAGACAAAAGATCGTGACACATTCATTTGTATTTATCAGAGTGAATAGATGGGGTGGGTGTGAACATGTGAGTAATCCATGTGCTCGTGTTACGTACTTGAGGAACTGGCTCTTGGCAGTACTCGGGTCTCCAACGATGCAGACGTTGATGTCTCCTCTCAGAGACGTTCCCTCCATGGTCGTCTTGGGGACGCCTCCGAACAGCATCAGCAGGATGCCGCGTTTCACCTCGTCGTTGCCTGTGCAACCCCAATCATTGTCAACATTTAAAAATCAACATCCACGGCTTTAATACCCTCTAAAGGTTCAACACGGGTCTGAGCACTGACCGTGGATGGTGGGGAAGAGGCTGGTGCACAGGTTGTGGTACAGGTTCTTGTCCTGGCTCATCTCAAACACTTTCTCCCACTCCTTCTCCGTCATCTGGCTCTTGATGCTCTCTGCAGTCTGCTCCTCCTCCCGCAGCTCCTTTCCACCAAACTACAACAAAGAAAACATGCATGTGAAATTGAACACCAGGATTGTTTGGAGCTTATCCTCTTACAACTCACTTCTTAGGAGGTTTGGTGTTATTTTATGGAAATACATGCATGTTATCTGTGTGTGTCTCTCTCTTACTCGGGGGTTAGTCGGGGCCACGTTACAGGCCAGGAAGGCCAGTCTGTATGACAGCTCTCTGACTCCCAGAGCTTTCAGCCCTCTCAAACCCTCAGACTCAAAGCCCTGGGGTCCTCCAGCTACACGGGTACTGGTCTCTGCTCGCACACCTGGAGGAAGAACACCCATACAGTCGTGAGACGTCAACAAAAACAAACAAATTTGGAGGCTGAATGTGTGGTCAAAGCCATACCAGGAGTGCTGAGCTGAGAGACGTCCGGCACGACGATGAGGGACCCGGTGAAGTCACAGCGGTCTCCGGCCTGAGCCGTCTCCACAGCCTCGGCTCTCAGGACGATCTCCAGGGAGCGAGGGATTGAACCACGAGGCAGCTCCGCCTGTGTCTCCTGGATACGCACCTGAACACAGAGTTAAACTCAGTCACAAATATCAGAGAACTATACTTTCATCTGTACACCTTCTTCCTATTCATGCACAGACACACAGTCTCCATAGATACCTTCTGGAAGTCGATGAACTTGGATTTGTGTGTGTCCAGGTGGAAGCGGGAGCGGTTGTTGCAGACAGGGTTCCTGCAGATGGTCGGGGGAGAGTATTTGAACTGCTGAGGGACGTCTTTGATCACTGCCTGGCAGTCCATGCACAGGAAGGTGCCGCTCACCTGGAACCACAAACAAGTCATTATAACGACCGGACTGTAACACACACACGCTCAACATTTGTGCATTTACACCTCAGCGTTGATTCTGCTTTTGTACATTTGTATCGTTTGTCACCTCGACTTATTTATGTGCACCTGCGGAGCATCTTACCAGTTCAGGGTGTACTGGGTGTGTCCTCACCACCTGACCACTGATCCTCACCAGGGCGCCGATACGTGCAGAGGACAGCTCACGGATTCTAGATTACACACAGGAAAATGGTCATATTTAATATATATTTCTACTGGGGCTACTACAGCATGTGAAATCAGAGTATAATCCAACAGAGAAAACTGAGATTAACTGAAAACACTGCACAATGATTTACAGCAAAACCCAGCAGCAGATTTAAGCTTGTTATGGGTCTTACTTGTGTCTGGTGGGAAGATCCTCGATTGCAACGTAGAACTCTTTGTTGAGAGGAACATTCCCATGATCCCGAGCAAAGTTGCGCACGGCCCGACAGAGGAAGGGATACACTCTGCAAACAGAGAAACCTCCATGTTAATCCACAGCAGACCTCTCATGTGACTGTTAGTCCACATTAGTTTATTCACCAGTATAGATCGTGTAATATGCAAGTGCATTTATAAAATCAGAACAGCAGCTATAACAATGGAAAGAAATGAATAAGGGCTCACACCGAGGCTCCCAGTGTGGGGATCTCACCTGTAGTACTCCTCCTGGATGGTGGTGGCCAGCTCCTGGTTGAAGCCCTCCAGGTCTGTGAAGCTCACCAGCAGGGTGTTCCTCTCAGGCCTGATCAGCTCCTCGGCCTCACGGACATACTTCACCTCCCCATCCCCGGTCTGAAACCTGCAGGGAGGCACATACGGAGGAGAAACAATGAAATATAATAAATACAGCGCAAACGGGCGTCGATCAGCACAGCACCGGATCCTCACAGTTACTGATAAATAATATATAAAAGCGGAGGTATCACGCCATCGACTCGTGTTCAGCCGGTAACAACACAATGGAGCCCGCTGCTGAGAGACTTACTCCTCCAAGAAAGCCTGGAATAACTTCTGGCATTTCTCGGCCAACTCGTCTTTCACCATCTCCCCGGCATTCTCCGCGGTTGCTGTGGCAACATCCATACTGAAAACCTGTCAAACTGCGATCAAAAAAAGATTCAGAAAAACTGCGAAATATCGATCCGCGCCGCTGCCTTCCGGACACAGACAAGACGGCACGCTTAAGTCCTCACAACAGAGCAACACTTTCGCGCGAAAAAACTAGACCACGTGACGTTTGGCGCGCTGCTGTCGGGCCAACCGGTGACGCTATGCAAATATCGTCCGCCTTGTAGCCAATCAGAGGGTGGGAAAGGCAGACTGACGCAAAGCCCCTCTCCTTTTTCCCGCGGTACGCTTCCTGCTTCAAACTTCAATAAAGTTTAGGGGGAAGAAAATGGTCAAATCTGCCTTATTACGTCAGATTTTCTTCACAGGTTCAACTAACAGAATTAAGAGTGTTTAAATTAATGTTATTATAATACATGTAATCACCAATAATTAGTTACGTATTAATATTAACTGTTAGTAAACTGTATATCTAATGTGGTGTTGTAGTTTCTCACGGTGACCACTGGAGGGCAGTGAACACTCATGATTCTGTCCATTCACTTCAACTGTCAACTCCACCAGAGTCAAGATAGATGACACAGCAGATGCACCCTTTGATGTAATTTCAGACTCCTTGGATGGACAGCACAAAAGGTGGACTGTGCTGCAGGAAAGGTCTGAGCCATTTCTGTAGATTTGCGTTGGAGTTACCCTGTCACCAACAAAAACCCAGAATCCAACTTGTCACAGTTCTGCATTAACATCCAGCTCCCAGTCAGCAAGTTTCCTTTCACCCTGTTCTCCTGCACCTCCCTGCATTAGCCACTCCCACCTCATCGAGCCAACTCCATTCACCTGGTCACACAGTTGCTTCCTGATTACACTCAGCCGGTACACAAACCCCAGCCTTACTGTCATTCTTTGCCAGATTGCTCGTCGCTTTTCTTCTTGCAAGACTCTCCAGCATTTCTTGGACTGATTCCCCTTTGCCGAATCTGTTTGTGCCCGACTTGCCTTTCTCGCCTAAACCCAGTTCCAGTTTCTGCCTAGGTAAAATTAAAGGTCATTACAAACTGCTTTTGTTGAACTGTGTGCTGCCTTTGGGTCCTACACACACACATGTTACACAAAGCTGTTCTATGAGTGATGACACTACCAATTTCAAAAGATAGCGTTTGGACGGTATATCACTTTAAGAGTGAACAGAAGACCGTACTCTTAACAGGAGTATATTCTGGGTCCAAAAGAACCTGTGATGGAAAATGTTTTTGTCTCGTGTCTCATCACACTGATAATTGAACTGGAGGTTTTCTGAAAGTAAAGCGCTGTTGAACATGTAGTGTAGTGACTGTGAATGACCACTGGGGGAGGATGTAATCAATACAAACAGACAGAGCAATTCACCACAGTAATATACTGACAGTTGTAATGGCTGCAATCATCAGGGGGCTATTTGTACATTACAATACTCAGTTATGTGCTATATCAATTAGAAAATCAGTTAATTAAAAAATTACACCTCAATAAATACATGATAATGAAACTATAACGTAGTTGTAAACAGATACAAAGATATTTTTTGTTTTAATGAACGTATTTGTCAATCGACTAGTGTATAAATACAGATAATTAATATTGGCAGTATGCCATAATAGATTAAAGATAAAATATATTTTAAAATCTCTTATCTGATTGTGAAGTATAAAGTCTTTGTTATATTTATTATACACTTTATTCATAAATTAAGTATTTATTTATCATGAATATTTTTTTTTCCCCAGAAAATCCCATCCACTGATGAAAGCCATGAGATACAGCTGAAAGCACCAAGAGAAATCTGGTAAGAGGACTGTGAATTAAGAATTTTTTTCTGACTCTGCCATTTCCAAGGTTAAGAATGAACCTTCAGGCCCAACACATCTGCATGAGTTTTGAGCATTTACAAACAATTTAAAGTGAAGGGGGTGAAAGAAATCCTGCTTATGAGCAGTTGGAGGCCATAGTACTACTATGGGCTACTCTAGGTCAGAGGCCAGTGCCTTGCTCAAGGGTAATAATAGGAGAATTTCTATTAGTATAGAAGAAATCTGGAGCACCCAAAGGACAGCCATGTGGAATATTGAAGGTGCCTCCAAACTGCAAACAAAAAAGTCCCAGGACCATCTGCAAGGCTAAACTGATTTCTTCTCTATTATTCCATTAACTCCTATTTCTGTTCCCACATCATTCTCACGTCTCCACCTGCTGAGGTCAATACAAACACTCCCGGCTGGCTATTGGTTTCACCTGTCACATTGTATGAATCCACCAGGAACAAAGCAGGAAGTTATTGCAGGCCATTTGGATGCAGCCCAGTCTTTCTCTCCCTTTTTATTTCGCCTTTTGTCTTGACCTCTGGTTTTCCCACGATTGTTCAGCGGCAGGAAGCTGAGCCTGTCTGAGTGTGACGAAGGAACCTGACCATCTGTAGGTTAAATACACACACACACACACACACACACACACATGCACCACAAGAGCATCAGTGTCATAATGGTTGGTGAGGAGGGATTTTTATATTTTTAATATTTGCCTGAAAAATAATATAGTTATGTTCCACTACTGGTAGTACCATGACTCCTGCTACTACGAGTCATAATACATACATCCAGACACACAAACGGCAGGTAGACGCAGATCAAACATAGTCTGTAGTATTGTATTATGTAACCATGCAGCAGGCACCAAACCGGCTTGTGCAGATAGACTAAAACTTTGATTGTGTCAGATCTGTGGTAACAGGTGAAAAACAAGACGGCTGGAACAAACAGGTGTAAGAGCAACAGGATATGAAAGAGAAGAAGGGAGAGATGGTTTAAAAAGAGTCGTTTCCTGGTTTGTTTGTATTCAGACGGTGACACATTTTCATTGTTTTTGTGGTTCACTCCCGTACACTCGACCCAAAATGAAACCGTGACTGAGATTAAAGCGCTGACATTCATCTTCATGGGTGTTCACATCCCTAATGAGTGAACACAGCAGGATTTACAGGGATTTTTATACACAGACCCCCAATTTTAGGACAAGCAGCAACTTAGTAAGCAGACCCCGAGCAGCCGAGCAGGTGTTTCACTTGCTGAAAACCAGACTCAAGGCAAAAAACAAACAAACACAGAAAAAGCAAGAGGTAAACACTGAGCAGTACAGACCTGTCTGAGCATCACCAGGAGGGACATAGTGTTTGTTGATGTCCGGTGGTCATAGATATTAGACAGTATTGTTTGAAAACTAATGAAAACTAATATTGAACATGGAGCCTTAAATTAAATTTCTGTTGATCACTCCAATTATTTAATGTCACCTTAGCAATGTGCCCACACTGTCTAATAATATGGGTGTAAACACTCTGAGATAAATCTTAAGGTTAGCACTTAAACCTCATTGTGTATCAAATGTAAAATGCTGGAGTAATAAGAAGAAAAGAAACATGTTACAGTGCTGTACCTGTAACTCATCATTGACTTTGGTTTACTGCACAAACATGCTAATGAAAAATGAGATGGTAAATTCTCCTGTAAAAATTTCAACTTGCTAACATCCTGATTTAGAAAACATGGAGGCATAAAGCCACAGAACTGGCTCTGTGGGTTTTACTAACTTGCATAATGTGTGGTCGACGTCTTTCAGGACACGGCTGATACAGGGTCTACATACTAACATGCCAGTTAGCCATGCTAGCAGCTCTGTGAGACTATTTCAGGACAGTACTGCTTTGAGCTAAATGCTAAAAACAGCACACTAACATGCTAACAATGAACATGCTATCATGAGATTTGGCAGGTGTAGAGTTTAACGTGTTCATCGTCTTAGTTTAGCATTTTAGCATGCTAACATTTGCTAATTAGCACTTCACACAAAGTGCAACTGATGGTAATGTCATTATAGTTTTACATGTATAAGCCATAAACCATGGCCCAATGATGGCGCTAGATGAAAAATAAATTGAATGAAACTTAAGGCCCAACATATGCCTGGATCCTCGGCCTGAGTCTGGCCCATATACTTTAACATCTGGGCAGAGCCCGGCTGTTATCCTCTGGTATTGACTGACAGTCGGAAGATTTTCTGTGTTTGCGCCAGAATTGGTCCAGATGTGGAAGTAGCATCTTAAATTCTGGGCCAGAAGAAAACAAGCATGGTCACGGCTGATACAGGGTCCACATACTAATATAACATGATTTATTTTGCTCTCTGGGAGGGGTCATCAGTTCCTTACCGGTACCAAACTTCATGGCAACACATCCAATAGTTGTTTCACTTAAAACTACAAATGTGGTCATGGGGTCCTTCAACATCTGTACTTAATTTGGTCTTGTCTCTCTGGACTTTTGTAGCTATTTTCAGTTTTAGTGTTTTGTATTAGTAACAGCAAGACAAAGGGTGTAGGGTTTGCTAAAACACATTTTATTGAGACTCAAAACTTGAAAAAAAAATCAATAAATTGGGTCATGGTCATGATCTGTAATTTGTGTCCTTCATAAAAACTAACAACATCCCAGTTTTTAATACTGTAGTGATCTACTGTGATGTTTGCACATCACCATTGTGCCTGGTTATTGAGGAAGCTGGATAAAAGCTGAGTGGCCTTCAGTGTCTCCTTAATGTTGTGAAACTGATTTACTCTGTGGCCGCTCTCTGTGTTGGTGAGCGCAGAGCTGCTCGGGTGTTTGATTGTTTTAGCTGCTTGTTTTTCCTAAAATGAGCTGCAGGAAGTCTTTCCTGTTTTGAATACACTATAAATAGAAGAGAAGTGTGTGTGTGTGTGTGTGTGTGTGTGTGTGTGTGTGTGTGTGTGTGTGTGTGTGTGTGTGTGTGTGTGTGTGTGTGTGTGTGTGTGCGTGCGTGCACATGCGTGCGTGTGTGTGTGTGAGAATGTCTGAAGGAGAGAGAGAGGGAGAAACAAACACATGAACAGGTAACAGGTAAGTTTTCGTTCTACATATTTCTCCACATAATTTCTATGTATAAAGCCACATAAACAGATGATAAAGTTGCCATGACGATCACAGCGAGTCACAGCAAAACAGAGTCAACCCTCCATTGTAGAAGTGAGTTACTGTATTCTTCCTTTTTGTCTCTCTCTCACAACTCTCCTCTTCATCCTCCTCCTCTTTGCCCCAGGAAACGGGACACAGTAAACTTCCAGCTTCTGTTTCTCTCACTTCCAAGTGGAAGTAGGTATGTGGGAAGCACTTTGTGTGTGTGTGTGTGTGTGTGTGTGTGTGCGTGTGTATATGTGTGTGTGTGTGTGTATTAAGGTACTGGAAAAATGGACCTCCTGACCCCCTCATGCTCCCATCTCTCTCACGTAGAAGAAGCGAACTGTTTATGTCATAAACATAAATCTGTCCTGCACTTTAAAAACACTGACACAAACACATCCACCATCACACACTGACATGTGTGATGGTTATCGCTTTTTATAAAGCAGTTTCATTTTTCGGACAGACTTTAACACGTTCCTGCTCCGGATCAGTGGGTGCAGATGGCAGATGGCTGAGTGAATCAATATAAAGGGAGACAAACTGATGGTAGTAAATACTAAAGGCACAAACTACCCAACAACTGATTTCAACACTTTTCCCTTACAATCAGCATCTGTGAATCACAGACTCTGTCCCAAGACACATCAAACATGAATTACAATTGTAGTAAACTATGGCAAAGTTGGCAGCTCTTGACTGGCAATCAAACCCTGTGTGTGTGAGACCAAATTCATTTGATCCTATTCCACATTTCCTGTCCCCTTTCCAATGTGTTTTCTGTGATAAAGCTGAAATGCCACTAATTAGCTTGGTTGATTAAAGACTTAATTATTAGTGTAAGTTGGATTTTATTGATATCTATCTGAGAATGAGACTTGATGAGGGTGGGAGTGTGGCTGTGGTTGAGTGGTTAACATGCAGGCCAGGAATTAACACTGTTTCACTTCGGAAGCAAGAAACACAGTTCATAAAAAAAGCCACTTTCACAACGATGTGGTATTTTCACATTTTATTACAAACATGTATAAAATACGACAAGAACAGCAACACTGAAAACATGTTAAAATTGTTAAAATTTAGAGAGAAAAGACCAGTCATGGACCAGCAGACTGCTCCTTACTTTCTCAGATACTTTGTGTAAACTTCCTCACACAAACACACACATACAATATATACAGTATATACAATACACACACACACACACACACACACACACACACACACACACACACAGTTAACAGCACGGGCCAGCACTAGCTGGAATGTAAACTAGAGGATTCGGACTCTGTGGTCGTGGAGGCCCCAGCTCGTCTTCGTGGTAAAATCTTCAAACTGGAGGCCCGGCTCAGGGTGAGGGCTCTGCGGGCCGAACTCTTGAACCCGGCCCCCAGGAAGGCGTACAGCAGCGGGTTCAGGCAGCAGTGTGCGAACGCCATGGGCTCAGACACCGCCAGCCACACACCTAGAACAGCCTCCAGGCTGCAGCTGCGGGGCAGGACCTCCAGGCGCAGCAGAGCGTCCACAGAGATGCCCGCTCCGTAGGGCAGCCAGCACAAGAAGAAGCAGAGCACCAACGCGATGGTGGTCCTGACCGCCCGTCGCTTCTGCCTCTGGCCCCCCAGTGGGCCCCGGGTCAGCCTGGTGACGATGACGCAGTAACACACCAGCAGGACCAAGCCTGGGATCACCAGACCCACCACGACCAGCTGGAGGTGGAAGACTGCAACCCAGAGAGGAGCATTGTCTGCTGGGTAGAATCGCTGGCACAGGGTGGCCCCCTCTCCTCCCTCCTGGGTCCTGGCAAATATCAAGTCCGGCACTGCCAGCAGAGCAGCAGGCAACCAGGCACCTGACGGAGGAAGAGACAAAAACACATGAGGCACTGTGGAGAAGAGGAGAGAGGAGAAGAGAAGAGGATTATAGAGAGATAAGTCGTATCAATTGTTCCACACTCACCTACATACACCAGTCTGTGTGCCAGCAGCTGCCTCAGCCCGCCGGTGTTTGTGTCTGTGGCTCGGACCACTGCCAGGTAGCGGTCCAGGCTGATGAATGCCAGGATGAGCACGCTGCCGTACAGGTTGACTGTGTAAATAACATGAACACCGACGCAGGTGGCCGCTCCAAAGCACCAGTCAGCCAGGGTCGAGTCCACGGCCCAGAAGGGCAGCACCAGTACAAAGAGGAGATCGGCAGCTGAGAGATGAAGGCGGTACCGGTCTGTGAGGCTGCATTTTGACCTGTACATAAACACAAGAGCACAAATCCAATCAGCCTCTTCCCAACCTTTCAAGCTCACAAATGCCACAAAACATCATTGAATTCAGAGCTCATCAACCACCAACCCTCCACCCGCCCTCTCACCTGCGCTGGCAGCCCAGCACGATGACGACCAGGCCGTTCCCGGTGATGCCCAGGATGAAGATGAGAGCGTAGACCACCGGCAAGAAGACCCGCTGAAGCTCAGTGGTCATCACATGTTCCACCTCACATGGCTCCTCCAGATCCACCCCTAGCTCACCAGAGCCAGAACCAGAACCTGAACCTGTGTCATTTAAGTCGAAGTCCACGTTGATGTGCTGGAGACAAAAAGATGAGTGATGATGATTAAGGGAAGAGTGAAGGAAGAGGAAACCAAACTGCATCCTAAACAAAACATATCAGCTACCACGCTCGACTAGACTATAACCTTACCTCATAGTACGACATGATGGAGACAGTCCCTCTCCTTTCTCAGCGGAGTGAAGACTTCTGTCCAGAAGGGCTTTATAACTGTGTTCAGGCTCCGCCCCTAAACACTCCAACACATCTGTGTTCCTGCTGAAACGTTTTTCCTGTTTTTGAGGTGTCAGGTGCTGATAGTGGTTCTATCACAGGATACTCTGTTGTGTGTGCGTTTTGCTTGAATTGTTTTGGCCTCTGGTTTGGTTTGATTGATAATCAGGACCTATTGGTAATAGTGAAGAGCGCCAACGAGAATCAAACAATATGCAAAGTGTAAATGTGTGTGGGTTAACAGTACCTCTCCCAGCTCCATGCTCTGATAAATCAGGACAAGCAGCGAGAGTTTGAGGTCTCAACGGAGTGTGAACAAACTTGTTCTGTCTGCGTCACTGTCTTGTACGATTCAAGCAAGTCGCCCTCTCATGCATGAACGTGGCGCAGAGAAGAGGGGAGATGATTATCAGCCGCCCTCTGCTCTGTCGCAGCTGCAAGACGCCGTCTGATCACACAGTCAATGAACCATGAGGGTGTTTGTGAGTGTGTTTAGTTCATCACCTTTCTGTCTTGCTTCAGCACTGATGTGATCATGAACACAACCCTCTGCTGTCTCACACTCAAAGTATGCAATGATGGAATTATGATTCTAATGTGAAATTCAATTATTATTAATTTCAATTCTATTTTATTAACTAAAAGTTTCATTATAATCAATGCATTAACTGATTATAAATAAACATCCATGTGTGCTGAGTCAGTCCGCAGACACACTTCCTGGTTTTTGTAGCAGTTCTGACTGTAAATCCCCATCCATCCTCTCCCAATACACTAATCCCATAAGTAAACAGCTACACCCACCCACCCCCCAAAAACACGGTCAAACCTTCAGAACCTCAGTCCCTTATCTCCTCGTTTTCCCCACCCTTCCTCCACATTCACTGGTATCAGGACACAAATCTCAGAAATAACACTGCTGTGTAAAACTCCTCAAATCTGCAGCACTGACTGGTGAAAAAAAAACCCTATTCCTGGTTTATCCTCATTAAAATGATCCAGATAAGAGTAAACTTGCTTCTTGGAACAGGCGTCTGCACTGATCTTTCTTAGCTGACATTTTGATATTTCACAACAGGAAACTCACAGGTTTTACATTATTACATTAATTGCATTGTTTGGATTGTAGATCCACACGGTCTCACTGGGACACCGAATGGTTAATGTTACTAATCACACCTTTGTTCCTCCTGTTGACAGGTGAATGTCTGGTAATAACGAGGAGCACAGGCCTGTCTCGCTGCGGCGCTGACGACTGTAACTGACTTATTACACGAACCAACAGGTATTCCTGCATTTTGTGTATTTGCTGTGGTTGTGTGTTATTGGCATTGCGTGTAAATGATATGAGAACTAATGAAAACCACAATCACATTCCTTGTACGCTGAAACACACTTGGATAAAAATATGATTGTGATTATGAAAAGAAGTGGCGCCACCTTGTGGGCTTTTAGAGAAAGGGTCTAACAACGCTGGCCAATACCTGAATAAAGTACTACAAAGTAGAGGAGTCTAACTAAACTAATATCTTTAATATATAAAATAATATTAATTAACTAATATTTTCAGAGCACAGCCTCTATCCACAACTTGCTACCAGCAGATATTCGTTCATTGAATCTACTTGGTATTTAGTGTTTTGGCAGATACTGGTTGTACACAGAGGGTACAACAAATAAGAATCGTTATAATGTACTGTTTGTTTTTTGTTTGCAGTTAGTACATGTGAAACAAATATACTTTACTGCTTTCTACTTACAGAAAATGATGCAGTATGTGTCAAAAGCCGAACTTAATGAAGTGATGGCCAAATATTTGCCCAAAAATTTAATAGCTGTAATTTGTTTTCTGAGATGTTCATGGAGCTGTTTCACCATCATCAAGTTGTTATTTATTCCAGTTACCTATGTGCACTGCATTGTGGGAAACTGGGGTCCATCAACAGCACACCTGGTGAAAACACTATGTACACAAAACCTATGAAGAGCTGGTGTAAGGTGTGTATTTGGGACACAACTTATAGTACAGACTAAGATTTATAGCACAACAAAATCTATAAGTAAAGAATTCAATTAAAAAAAAAAAAAAAAATCAACAACCATTTATACATGTGAAATATTGGCCATCAATCCTACTGCAATGTCACTGCCAATTACACTTAAAAATAAAAGCATAATGATTTTCCAAATATTTATTTTTTAAATTTGTGAATATGACCTCCATTTCCTTTGTCCACTGCATTGTGGGGCGACAGCACACTAAAATAATCAAGCCTTTTGACTTTTAGTTTTTAGCATACTTCACTTTGTCACTTTTCTAGTGACGACACACACACACACTCTAAACCTGCTCAGAGATAATATGTGGTGTGGCGTTTGGACACCGCTACAGTGTGATGTATACAATCTTACTGAAAGTGTCAACAGAGCTACTGATGCTGGAAATGTAAAAAAAAAAAGGCCTTTCATAGGAAGACAGTAAAAATGGAATTAATTCAAAAAAATTAAATAAAACACAATATATTCATAGTCATCCAGTTGTATGAAACTTTAAATAAACACCATTTTGAAATTTAAGGAAAAATAAATAATGGAACTGCAACAGTAACATTGATTAACTCCAGGTGTGTGACTCCAGGTAAATGGCAACAATTATTTACCCACTGGTATTCAAAAGAGACTTAAGCCAGGCTAAACAACACTGACAACCAGCTAAGTAACGTAAGTAAAAACTACATCAGCACGTGAGCACTTAATACTGTAGCTGTTGAGCTGGAGCTGAAAGAAAGTTAGCGTCACCTCGCTAAAGTGTTTCTCTGACGATCATGCTGCTGTTGCCACGCAGCTGGGCAAGCAAGTCTCTGAATCCACTCGTCTTCTTCGCCTTTTGCTGCCTGGCTAGGAGCTCTCTGGGCTTGATGGTTTCCAGAGTGACTGTGCAGGGAATCAACTCAACAGTCTGATCTGTGTCTGCTTGATTGTTGGTCTCTTGATCGCTACAACTCTCAAAACCAGGGCTGCTGCCGTGACTGCTGGTTGGTTGACCACGGCCGCCGTCAGTACAGCTATTATCAATGCGTTGGTGGTGGCTGTTGCTGTGGAGACGCTGCTGCTTAGCGACACGAGATCCCTGAGAATCATCGCTTGTCCTCTTCCTCCTCTTGTTCTTCCTCTCCTTTTTCACTGGCACTTTGATGCAACGCCTAAGATTCCTGACACAAAAACACGACACATGAAAGTCATTTTTGATGGCTGCTTTGCTACTGTAGGAAATTTGTGACATGTGCATGGAAACATTACCTCTGTAGGAAAGTGTGTGGCCTTGAGCAGGCTGATGATTCTCCCTCTATCACTTGTTGCTCACTTCGCTTTACACCTTTCTTGAGCGCAAGTCTTTTCTGAACCAGCTTTACATGGATCAAACGCTTCCTGACAAAACAGGGAGGCAGCATAGTGAATTAGCTTGGCTGCTGGAGCTCAACCTCAAAACCAGTGATCATACACATGCAGGCAGTCTTACCTTGTTGCATTAGGAAGCCTTCTGGGCCTCCACTTCTTGATCAGGACCCACTGGTCACATGTCAGGGACTTGGGATCTGAAGAACAAACCAGAAACAGAGGTCGAACATGAGACAAGATCCATCTGTGCACTGAATACAGACCGACCCCCTGCATGGTTTACATGTGTTACATCTTTGCGCACAGCTGAGTGCAACACCATGAATGTCTTCCAGGAGAGATGGCCTGAAAAGTTATCAACCTTGATTTGTCTATGATGGTAAAGATTAATTCAAACCTATACATTTTTGTTCATGTATCTCCCTGTAGATGTGATTGCTACCAATGAAAATTTTCAAATGAATTTCTTTAGTGAGATATGTGCATTTTAATCACGTCATCCCTAAGTATTTTCAGCTATCATTATGAACACACTGAATGATTATGAAGCTAATATAAATACAGTGCATGCCTAAATATTTTAATATATTATATTCACTGTTTTAGGCAGCTGCTTACACAAAGTAATAATAATAAAAAAGTTACACTATTTATAACTCATGCTGCATTTCATTGCTTTGGTGTATGATGTCAATTTATTTTACAAATCACATAGAAACTGAAACATATACTGTAGGAGGGAGCAAATGTGTTTTTTGTACTCCGAGTGTGCCAAAACCTTGAATTAACTATGTTAAGTCTTATTCATCTGATCGTTGTTACAGTATGTTTATCTTCTCTTTGTACTTCCTGTAGCAATGATCAAATTTCTACTTGCATATAGAAAGAACGAGTGCACTCACCATTGTCTAAGAGTTTGTTTTTGATTTGTGCTTTCATCTTCTTTGCCCTCTGGTAGAGCTTCTGACAGGCTGAGCACAAGTCTCGTGGTCGCCTCCGTTTCTTGGACGTGGTGTGGTATAAGACGGAGGGACCAGAAGCTACACTGCTGGTGACAGATGCACAATCTTCATCCGACTCATCCACTCCTTTATCAGCTATCTCTACAAACTTTCCTTCATCCTCCTCAGCCACACATTTTACATCATGTGTATAATTGATGATGTCGATGATGTCACGGTTGCTGCCCTCATCTGTATTAATGACGCCATCACCAGCTTCAGTCTTCCTCTGCCCTGTCCTCTGTTTCTTACTCCTCAACTTGCGCTGGATACCTTCTTCATTGGGGCTGGGACTTCTCTGGGGGCTCTTCTTGGCGGCCTTTGGTAGTCTGGAGGAGCGTCTGGGATTCATGGGTCTTTCCCACTCCAGACAATACTCAAGTGACCTGTGACAGAGAGCAACATGGACAATCTGTCATAGAGCACCTTTAGAGCACAGCACAATGTTATATGTGATCATTACGGTTCACAGGTTAGTCATAGGCTGAACATTTTTATAGAAAGTTTCATATCTCAATATTCATACCTGTAATATTCTACTTTTATAGAGAATGAATGACTGCACAACTCCAAGCCATCTGCCTCAGATCTGCTGTCAGTTGCAGGCCTGTTCATTTGAAGACAACAAAACACTCTAATGACAGATTTAAGAAAATACAGCACAGTACTTGAAATATGATCTTGTTCCTGTTTCTGTTTGATGTCACTTGTGAGGAGCTACATACTTGATAGAAACTATACAACCTCTCACGTCTGGCTATAAAGCAGGGGCTGTTTTCACTGCAGACATTCAACTAAGCAGACTACCCACTGAGCCCCAGCAACCAAGCAGCACAATGCTTGAATACTACCTGTCCTACAGGTTTGTTTTGCGTCAATTAGTCTGGTGTAACACCGCTTTATATACTGTACAACATCAACTGATATCATAAAACCATGAAACTAGACTCCACAATACAGGAGCTCCACACTAGGTAATGATGGAGGATCTGCTTTTAGCCAAATGACGCAGAGTTTTTCCTGATTCCATGGACCTGTGTTGGTCTAAGGCCCTGGGGCTGATGATCCAGACCTCGAACCCGTCCACACTCCCTAAAATACTGCTGTCTCTTAGCTCATGTTAGCATCCCGGCTAAACTAGCCAGACTAAGTTAAACAACAAATATGTAGCAGACTGGATCCTGATCGTCACTCGGCTGTGAAGCAACGCTGCTGTGACCTGACAACTTACTTCGTCTCATATCTCTCACGGTTTACGTGATCAGGCATGTCCCTAACGGTTTTCACTTGACATCCAATCGGTTAAAACTATAAAACAACGACCGCTTACTTGTTAACATACTGGCTCGCGCTGTCTCGCGGACCTCAGGGGGCGTTCTATTGAGCTCGAGGAAAACATACCCGAAGATGCGCGCGCGGCGGGTCAGAACTCTTCTTTTACTGTGTGGCGACAGAAAAGAAACGGCACGTTACCGCCCCCAGCTGGACAAACTGCGTTTACACCACACATTCAAAACACGATTCATGAAAAAAAAGTCACTGCTTGTGGTGGAAGCCAAGTGTCATCTACGAAACATACTAAAAGTACGTAAGTAAAAATGACCAGTAGTTTTATAATACTATGTTCTATTACTGATTCATTTTTATTTTTGAAAAAGGCTAACACTCCGGTATACATATATATATATATATAGGCGGTTTTCCACTTATCCTGAAGCACTACCAGAGGAAAAACTAGATCATTAGGACTGAACCCAGAACAACACACTGGAGATGCGGCCAAAAGAAGTAATGCAAAATGTGGCATTATGTGTTCCTGACTCCCAAATGCCCGGTATGGTCATGAGAACACTTCGTACCTCGTTGCGATACTAAGCTGGGACAACAGTGCATAAAAACACACTATGCACCACTGAACTTTTCACCGATTCTGTCTGTGTGCACTTTTTACACAGTTACTAAATCACTGACAGTCCCATATAATTGATTGACCGCTACCTGTTGAGGACAATGATGGTCACTTTTGTTAATGTGTGGGCTTTTAACACAGACAACTCATGAATTTCAAAAAGCCAGACAGAGCAGTCTGAGGACAGGGAAAGATTTACAGGAGCATTCAGAGCACAGAGTAGGGGGCGTTTTCTTGATCCGTTTTATTCCTCACTTTACCCCACCTTTTGCTCTGTGTTGTATTCAATGAGGTGTAGACACTGAGGAAGAGAGAACAATGTGGAAAGCAACAGTGTTTGTGTTCCTGCTGCTAAACATGGATATGCAGGTGAATGGTGCTGATAAGACGAGACGGTCTGCTGCACGAAAGTCCGGGCCAGAGGAGAAGGCAAAGACAGAAGAGGCTGAAGCCAGTGACACCATTTTTGCAAATGACACTGCTTCTTCTTCTTCTTCTTCTTCTTCTTACTTGGGTAACTTGCTGGTGGTACCCATGGATGGAAGTCACTGGGTGGGTATGAAGGCCATTGCCCAAGAAATGGGTCGCCGTGGACACCGGGTCACCGTGGTGATACCAGAGGTCAGCATGCAGATGGGTCCGGGGAAATACTACGACACTGTGATCCATCCTGTTCTGTATGACAGGGCTTACATTGATTCTGTGACGTCCGTACATAAGGACATGATGCAAAAATCTGCACAGTCATTCATACAAAAAATAAAAACACGATTCGCAGTCACTCAGAAAATTACAGATTTAATCTACAGAACTGCAGAGAGTCTACTGTTCAATGACAGTCTCATCTCACATCTGGCACAGCAGGTGAGTGCAAACACAAAAGCTGAACATCATGATCAACTGTAAAAATGCAATACGATTGCCTTGCACTTTTTTTCTGAATTTGTGTGACATTTATTGGGACTGTGTCTATTACTCCGGATGTGTTTTCTGGGCTGTTGCTGTGTTTGATTGCACTGTACTGTAAGGTGTTTATGTTACCGTGAACAAACCCTGTAGCTGCTGAATTTAGGATAGCGGTAGAAGAAATATTCACATTATTATCAGCAAAATGCACTTAAAAGTATGAAAAGTAAAAGTGCTTGCCCTGCAAGAAAACAGCTCTAATACTGATGCATTAATGTGTAAGATTGAACTACTTTATATACAGTTAGGTAAATTAGTCTGACAAGATAAATCTGAGTGTTGTGAGATAAGTTCTGCACATTTTTTTTTTTTTACTCTCTTTGCTTTTTTGTATAATATTGAATAATTTTATGCCCATGAGCCTCAAACACTTATTTAAATAATACCATATGCTGGAAGTTGAAGGGAAAATGTCTTTGGTAGAACTGTATGTCAGATACATATAGTGGAGTATGCGACAGAAAGCATCAAATAGAAATACTCAAAACTGCACTTAAGTACAGTACCTTACTAAATGTACTTTTCACTCATGATTTGTGATGAAAAACATTAATGAGAGAGAAGGATGGTGGGAGCTGACATGCCTTCTTTATTCTGTATTTATTCCCTCTTTCTCACCCTTTCGCTCTGCAGGGCTTTGATGCCGTGTTGACAGACCCCATGGTGCCCACAGGCTCATTAATAGCTCGGAAATTAGGTGAGTTCTGATCCACTGGGATTATCTGTGTGCTTGTACATCTGCACATTTTCTCACCTCTCATTGCTAAATCATTTCAGGTATCCCCACTATTAATTTGTTGAGAGGTATGCCATTTTTCTTGGATATGAGGTCTGCAGGCTGCCCCTGCCCACCCTCGTATGTACCTCGCTTCTTCACCGGATACTCAGATAAAATGAGCTTCAAGGAGAGAGTTGTCAACACTTTGGTGAGCGTTTATAGGCACATATACACGGGCAGATGCATGCATGAAGAACGAATGTGTTTTTATTGTGTAAAATGACCATAATCACCACAAACGTCAACATCATTAAGTAAACCATAGATTGAGTTGATCAAACTAATCCCTCTATTTCATATTTATTATCATCTTGCGTACTTATTTGTCTTATTATTCCTCTTCCGCATAAAAGTTTGATGCGTGAGTAGTCCTGCAGCTTTGAGGAAACCCAGACAGCCATGACGATGTAAATGCCCAAAAATGGCGAAAAATTCACCATAGTTAAGACGTTGTGAAATAAACCAAACCCTCCCCATTTTGGGAGCTCTAGCGCTTCATCAAAAGTATCTGAGAGCCAAGCAGCAGGCACATTCAAAATTTCTCCAAGAATTTTCTAGTTGAGGTGAGTCAGGTATTTCTGAGACGTTGGCACTGAAGCGCCTTGCCTAGATTAACATGCCACTATCAAACTGGCCGGAGCCATTCAGTTTGGCCAATGTAACAGAGCCCCTTGGTGCCTGTGTCCCTGCTTCACTGCACATTCAAAGTCATGTAGTTCATGGTGGCCCAGTTAAACCTGGACTACATTACTGAATGCATGTCTGAAATGTATGACCTCAGTTTAATCACTGTTACAATTTAACTCATAAAACTAAAATTAAGCTCTTTGCCAATCATCAACACCTTTCGCTGTGCATTTGTTTATTGTCCTGTGATACCTCTGACCCACAGGTAGCTTTACTGGAGCCGCTGCTCTCCCGACTGCTGTACTGGCGCTTTGACCAAATGGCCTATCAGTTCCTGGGAGAGGAGGTGTGCGTAGCTGAAGTACTGTCAGACTCTGCTATCTGGCTGCTGAGGTAACATGTACAAAGGTTGTATATTGATGTTTGGGAGAAGAATACACAACAGAAGAAGAACCTACACACACATATACTATTACACTAACAGGCTAGGAATATAATGTGAATGCATATATTTACTTTCACAAAGTCCTACTGACTTTTATGCCACTGAATCTCACTGAAAGAAAGATTTAAAAAGTCTCAGTCTCATATTCAGGTGAATATTGTGATACTGTGTTTAAATAGGATTGACTTGATACTGGAGTTCCCGCGCCCTCTCATGCCTAATATGGTACTAGTTGGTGGCATCAACTGCAATGTGAGAAATCCTCTGCCTGAGGTAAGAGCTCTGAGTGTTTCTGATCTGGAAAACTGTATCAACATTTTGATTTTATTTCACTTGTTCATCACTTCACCTGTTTGATTTTAATGCAGGAACATAGAGGGATGAATATGGAAAGAGAAATAAATTCAAACCCCTACAATGGGTTTGTGTTTTTGCAGGATTTGGAGTCCTGGGTGTCAGGAGAGTTTGGGTTTGTGGTGTTCACTCTGGGCACTATGGTGTCAGATCTGCCAGAGGAGAAGACCTCCATCTTCCTAGAGGCCTTCAGACAGATTCCACAGAAGGTAAAGGAATATATTTGAGCATATGCATGAAAATGATAAGATTCTATATAACAAGACACAGTTAAAAGATCAATAAATAACTCTTTGTGTCTTTTGATAGGTGATATGGAGATACACTGGGCAGGTTCCTGACAATGTCCCAGAAAATGTGAAGATGATGGGATGGGTGCCTCAGAACGACCTACTAGGTCTGTGTGTCTATTTCACATATCATATAACAGCTGACATCTTGCAGTAATTGCACGTTCAACTAACTTTGTGTGTTTGCATGTTAGCACATCCTGGAGCTCGGGCTTTCATCACTCACGCTGGCTCACACGGTATCTTTGAGGGACTGTGTCATGCTGTTCCCATGGTGATGATGCCAATGAGGGCGGACCAGCATGACAATGCAGAGAGGCTGGCGAATAAGGGAGCAGGAGTCGTGGTGGATATTTTTTCCATCACGACTGAAAGCCTCCTTCAGGGACTGAATGAGGTCCTACATGACGTCAGGTGAGGGGTCGGAGCGTCACTTGCATCAGTTTTGGGATCTGCTTTTGATACCATCATATTCTGGTGTTGTATTCTTAAACTCTCCTGGTCTGTTTGTGTGTGTCCAGGTATAAAGAAGATGTGCAGAAGCTGTCAGCTCTCCATAAAGACCGGCCAGTTGAGCCACTCGACCTGTCAGTGTACTGGACAGAGTATGTGATGCGCCACAAAGGGGCTAAACATCTTAAACCTGCTGGCATTGACCTCAACTGGATCCAGTACTTCTGCCTGGATGTAATAGCGCTACTAGCTAGCGTAGTTCTGCTTTTTGGCATTTTGATAGTAAAATGCATGAAACTATGCTTCCGCAAACTGAGCAGGAAGAGGAAACGGGACTAGCATGGTGCTACAATTGTATTGTTCTTGTCCATACTGAAAACATCATTCAAACATTCAGTGTTCATTCAGTGTATGTTCCAAAAAGTATGTGAACCCCTCAGCTAATAACATCAATAAAAGCTTATTGGAGTCAGGAGTTATCAAAACTGGAGCCCAGTCAATGAAGCTTTGGGTCTGCCGTTCACAAGGAGCATCTGCGAATGTTAAACATGCCTCACAAAAGAGAGATCTCATAAGACCTACGATCTATAATTGTTGATCTGCATGAAGCTGGAAAGGGTTACATAGTAGTATCAAAGAGTTTAAATATTTATCAGTCCAGATAAACTATAAACATTTATGAATGGATATGATTTAGTTCTGTGGCTACTCTTCCTAGAAATGGGCATCCATCATAGAGGCTTAAAGGAATCATTGGAGCCGATTAACATCTCTGGTCGTGAGTCAAAAAAATACAAATCACTGAACCATGAAGGTACACCACAGAGGAAGCCACTGCACTCCAAAAAAAAACATCACATGCATGCCTGAAGTTTGCAAAAGAACATCTTGACAGTCCATAACAGCACTACTGAGAAAATAATTTATGGACTGATGATGAAACTAAGGTTAAAATGTTTGAGAAGACCACGCAGCACTATCTATGATACATACTAACAAGAAAAAATCATCCCAAAGGTCAAGTATGATGGAGGGAGCAGCATGATTTGGGGCTTTGCTGCCTCTGGGCCTGGACAGCTCAACATCATCGAGAGGAAAATTAATTCCCAACTTTATCAAGGTTTCTTAGAGGATAATGTCAGGGTGGCTGTCCCCCTGCTGAAGTTCAGTAGAAGTTGGGGCAAGGACGTAGGTTTGCATATGGACGGTAGGGACATGTCCACACCAATATTTTGGGAGCACACAATTGTCCCGATCAATATTTGAGTGAATTTGTTCATACTATGTTTGAAGTGAAGTCATAATAGATCATTTCAATGTCCCTTCTAGAGGCTACATCTCCAAGACAACCAATTTAGGCATGCTAGCATCTGATTGACTGAAAGGGTAGGGGCTATCTGAAGGCTCATGTCATTTGAGTGGTACCTAACATCATGAGAAAAATGTCAACTGATGTTATTTAACCATGTTAGCTAGTGATAAGTAGCAAGCTAACCCTGGCTCCTGTCTTCTATAGGCTAGTGGAGAGGTTTGATATGAGGAGTAAACATAAAATGGTAGATATATCAAAGTATGAGTTTAATTTGTATCGAAAGATCCCATGAAAATGTCACCATGAATACTAATAAGTCATTTTTATGCCTTTTTTATGATGTTTTTATACCTTACTATACTATGGCATGTTTTTTTTTGACGTACTATACTATGACGTCTTTTGAAGTTTTAATGACTGACAATAATGTGAGGTTTTTTATGACTTACTATAATGTGACATTTTTATGGCTTACTATACTATGATGTTTTTTGACATTTATATGCCTTACTATACTATGACGTTTTTATGGCTTACTATACTACGACATTTTTTGAAGTTTTTATGAATGGCAATAATGTGACATTTTTGACGTTTTTTATTACTTACTATACTGTGACGTTTTTTGACATTTTTATGCCCTACTATACTATGACGTTTTTATGGCTTACTATACTATGACATTTTTTGATGTTTTTGTGCCTTACTATACTATGACGTTTTTATGGCTTACTATACTATAACATTTTTTGACGTTTTTATGGCTTACTATACTATGACATTTTTTGACGTTTTTGTGCCTTACTATACTATGACATTTTTTGACGTTTTTATGCCTTACTATACTGTGACGTTTTTTGACATTTTTTATTACTTAACATAATGTGACGTTTTTTGACGTTTTTATGCCTTACTATACTATGACATTTTTATGCTTTACTATACTATGAAGTTTTTTGACGTTTTTATGCCTTACTATACTATGACGTTTTTTGACATTTTTATGCCTTACTATACTATGACGTTTTTATGGCTTACTATACTATGACGTTTTTTGAGATTTTTATGCCTTACTATACTATGACGTTTTTGACATTTTTTATTACTTACTATACTATGATGTTTTTTGATGTTTTTTATGACTTAATATAATGTGACGTTTTTTTATGTTTTTATGGCTTACTATACTATGACATTTTTTGACGTTTTTATGGCTTATTATACTATGACGTTTTTTGACGTTTTCATGCCTTACTATACTATGACATTTTTTGACGTTTTTATGGCTTACTATACTATGATGTTTTTTGAGATTTTTATGCCTTATTATACTATGACGTTTTTTGACATTTTTTATTTCTTAATATAATGTGATGTTTTTTGACGTTTTTATGCCTTACTATACTATGACGTTTTCAAGGCTTACTATAATATGACATTTTTTGACATTTTTATGGCTTACTATACTATGACGTTTTTATGGCTTTCTATACTATGACGTTTTTTGACGTTTTTTATGACTTAATATAACGTGACTTTTTTTTACATTTTAATGCCTTACTATACTACGAAGTTTTTTGATGTTTTTATGCCTTACCATACTATGACGTTTTTTGACATTTTTATGCCTTACTATACTATGATTTTTTATGCCTTACTATACTATGACATTTTTTGACATTTTTATGACTTAATAAAATGTGACGTTTTTTGACGTTTTTATGCCTTACTATACTATGACGTTTTTATGGCTTACGATACTATGACAGTTTTTGACGTTTTTATGCCTTACTATACTATGACGTTTTTTGACATTTTTATGCCTTACTATACTATAACGTTTTT